ATTTCATAAGGATCGGCCGACTATATCTTATAGCTGCCATATAACTGATTGATCGGAAATGCCATAACTTTGGTGTTTGTAAAGTTAGGAAGTTGGGATTTTCTATGGGTTTTATATTTGGCCAATCAATCAGACGTACCAAATTTCATAAGGATCGGCCGACTATATCTTATAGCTGCCATATAACTGATTGATCGGAAATGCCATAACTTTGGTGTTTGTTAAGTTAGGAAGTTGGGATTTTCTATGGGTTTTATTTTTGCCTAATCAATCCGACATATCAAATTTCATAAGGATCGGCCGACTATATTCTATAACTGCCATATAACTGAACGATTGGAAATGCCATAACTTTGGTGTTTTTAAAGTTAGGAAGTTGGGATTTTTTATGAGTATTAAGAATGCATTATGAATGATTTTGGAGAATATAATTTGCAGAATATTCTGCAAGGGTATTTCAACTTCGGCTCCGCCCGAAGTTAGCTTTCCTTTCTTGTTTTTTTGTTATAATTCTTTTATTAAAGGAGTGTGTTGATAAACTAAAATAGTTGTTAGTTAATAGATTCTAATTAAATGTTTAACATTCCGAAAATATAAGAGATGGAATGTGATTTTAATTTGATTAATGGTTTAAGCAACAGAACATGTATTTGTTTACAGGAATGAGACTGTGCTAATTTGAGTTTTTGTAAAATGTATTTACATTTTTATAATAATAAATATTTCTTCTAAATATTTTGTCTTAATGTTAACCATTTCATGTAGTATTATTATACCTCCCGCCTGGAAAAATCGCTTGCTGTTGGAAAAGCAAATTTCCGGATCTCACATCCGTGTCCCCATGGAAACTGCGACCCATTTGAGGCTCCGTCTGACTTTTAGCCGAGCGGCGTTAATTTGCCTGCCGGCTTTACTTTACCGCAATGGCTGATATTTGCACAGTCAGCCCAAGGGTCTCGGTCTGGGTCTCGATCGCGGTCTCTCTGCAGGTATTTCTGCATCTCTGCCCCCCGAACATATGGGCATACCCAGTTCCTAGTATATGTACATATCTGCCTGCTGAACGTATCGTGCCGAGGTAATTTTCATGCAGTCATTCCTCATTCATTAAAGCGTCGCATGGCGTCCGCAGAAGAAAGATAGAAAGACGATGGCGAAGAATGGAGAAGAATCAGCAGCAGAAGAAGCCGAAGACTGGAGACTGAAGACTGAGGACTGAAGACTGGAGACTGGAGACTGAAGACTGAAGAGGGGGCCACGGAAGACGCGGCATGGACTTTTGGCATGGCATTAACCCGTAGAACTCCTTTCACTTTACATTCTAATTCCAAAAGTTCCAGCATTCGCATACCAAGACCCCGATATGTGGGAGAGGGGCGGCGGGGGAGGCCGGCATTCTTGGCTTCTTGGCCAAAACCTGAATGCCCGATGAATGCTAATGCTAATACCTCGTACCTGGCCAATTTCCCCCTCGGGCGGCCTATAAAATATGTATGTGTGTGAACCTATGCAAGCGCGCACGGTGCAAAATAAAAGTATCACCAAAATCGGTCATTACTTTGCCGTTTTCCGCGTGAAAATGGTTGTTATCGGTGGGATAATGACATGAAAATTGGTATGTGACTAGTTTTGAATCTGATATGTCCAAAAACAATAGTCGTTATATTCAAATGGGTTTTTTGATTCTAAAAATATACTACTTATATTATATTATCAAAATATATGCTAATTTCATTTTTCAAAAGATTAACTTAGCTTTTCACTTCAACAACTTGTATGTAAATATGATTTTATCATTAAATGAATAATTTAAACATAGACACACAATTATTTGTATTTTCTAAATTAGTATAATTACTTTTTCCCTGTGCAGCTACATAAATGAAAAACTTAAAAGAATTCCCAACTAAAACAACAGAACTATCGATCGGAGTTCAAAAAGGCGGCCAAATCGATGGCACAAATTAAATATTTAATTGTGGACAACCATTATGAATAGTTAAGGAACTGGGAAGCGTGGATAAAATAAAGACAATGACACTACCAGAACTTAATTGTTACATTCAAGTCTTATTTTAATAAATAGAAATTGTAATTCAAACTCTTTGAAGCCAAAGTGAATTGATGATAACAAAGATAAGAGTAAGTAGACAGTATGAGAAATAAATTACTTCAATGACCATGTGAATCCAGAAAACTAAGTCAACCATTAAAGAACAATTTGTTTTATTGCTTAAAGTTGAAATAGAAATATATATATATATGTATATATTTTTTAATAAATAATGTTTTAAAATAGTATTAACTATTTGTATAACTATTTCCCATTGAATAGTAACAACTACTCTTATATAGCGTATATCAAAAGGTTTTTACCCGTTAAGCATAGAGTTGAGTGGACGTTTCGACAGACCCTAGAAAGTTGTTCTGTATCGGTTGATATGTTATATATATATATATATATATGGTTAATACAATATAGATAACTTGTGGGCCCAAGAGGGCGTTGACAGCTGTATCTGAGGAGGCACTGTATAGTATATACCTGTAGCAGGTGCGATAAGGCCACAAGGGGTAGGGATTTCGAAACGGGCTGGACATCGATATGATCTGGGGGCAGTGCTATAAATATTACCGAAAAAGGCCCACAGCTGATAGACAGGCCCAATGGCTGCGCCACTCGAAGTATTTCGCTGCCGAAAAGCGATTAATCATCTCCGCCGCCTGTTTAGACCACAACAATAACAAGAGATTAACATAGCCGATGTCTGAGGCCGATTCAGATTCGGATTTTGGCTCATACTCCTGCTACGATGCTGTGGGAAACACCGCAAAGCAGTACACCTACACTCAGCGAAAAGTGGCTGCAGATTTAAAATTCAAACTTCTAAAAAGCACAGTAGTCATAAACACAATTTTAAGTATTGTTTTTAAATGACCAGAACTTTATGTAAGTACTCCATTGTAATTTAAAACTTAACTATATATTTATTTCACAGGAAAAGTTGCTTATGAATTTCCATTTTGCATTTTTTTTTAAAGCTTTTATTTTTTTTAGGTTTGAATATTTTTTAAGGATAAAATATCTAACAACTTTAAAATGTACAGGCTTAAATGCCGATCAATGGTTGTTTTCCTGTAATCATACAACTTTTATAATTTGTCTAATTTACAACCTATTTGTTGCTTTCAATTTTGTAATGGGTAATTACAAATATATTTCTTGAAATTAATTTATAGCTATAACGAATTTTCTCAGTGCTTTATTTGGCATGTGGAGCCGTTGAAGGGGCCACCGGCTCATCTGGAGTGCCACTTGCCACTTGCCACAAATTCCCTTAATCATCGCCTGGTGTAATAAATATAATTTCCCCCAGAGCAGCCGCCAATCGATCGATCTACACATGCGGACACAAAAACCAATCAACTTACTGGCCATATCTCCACTCCACAAAGGCACTTCAATTCATATTCAAAAGCTTTGGATAAAAAACAGAGCAGAAAATGAGCGACAAGAATTTTTAGACAATGCAAATAAGGCATATACATATATAGTGGTTGAACCCGGAATTTTAGCATTCTATATTAAAGCATTTTAGAAATCGTAAAATGAAGTAATTTTTATTAGCTAGAAATCTTCTTTTGTTTTCTTTCAAATTAATTAACACATTGAACTTTACATCTTAAGTTTAATATTCATTCAGTCATTTGTACAACCAATTAAGTAATTGGTATTTAATGGTTTCTTTTTTAACTGATACCAGTTTAATGTAAATTTAAAGGTAATAGTGCCTTTACCATTAAAAAAATAAATCAATAGTGCCTTTACTATTAAAAAAAAATCAACTTGAAGTAATGCAAATTGTTTTCGCATTGCTTGAAAATCTTTGGATAAAATGTAAAGAGTGTGCTTGATCTCGTAAATCTAAGGTGATTTTCTCCTTCACCAATCCGATTCTTTGCAAGCGGATGTGATCGGCAGACAGTAAAGCCCCCGTAGTCCCTGATCTCTAAGACTCGCCCAATGCCACGACTTTTGGAGCGGGGAAAAGCGAAAGAAAAACAGACAATGCCAGCCAATTACCGGCGATAACACAAATATTTCTGTAACAACCAGTTCTCGGGCCGAGTTTTCAGTTTTAAGTTTTCAGTTTCAGTTTCGATTTCGTCAGTCGGCCAGAAATTAGCACGTAACTTCGGGCCGAACCCCACCCCAAAAAAAACCGAAAACCCATTGGCACTAAGTCATAAAAATAACAATGAACAAGACACAAGACACGGCCCAAAAATGTACAACAATTTTTATTATATCTTTTCTTTTTTTTTTTCTCTCTATTTTTTTTTCTTGGTTATTTGGTCTTTTTGTTTTGTGGCTGTCATGCTCATTGAGCACGCTTTTTGCCTTAAGACAAGGGGAGGCTGCCCTGGTAGCCGGGCTTCACTGTCCGGATTGTGCGTGCCCCTACTTACCGCCGATTTGTTGACATTAGGTCTTAAAATTTATTAGTTCTTATTGTCAGCAGTTGGTATAGGCCTTTGTTTTGCTTTTATTTGGGGGGGGGAGGCAAGCCCCGGGGCGTGGCCAATGGGCTTTCGGTTGCCTAATGTAATGCCCCCGGCCACGAGCGAATCGATTCGAGCGGAATGCAATGCCATAACAATTGAATTAGTGACAATTAAAAGTGGTGGCTCTTTATTAGGTACCCATGCAGCAACTCCAGGTTCTGTGGGCAAGCCACACTGAAAATTAAACCCTTGGCCGGCTTTTACTTTGATCTTCTGAAACTTTTACTTTCGAATTTTTGCCAAGATTCTACTCCACATTGGACTTCAAAAAAACCAAACAAAAAAAGGGAAATCCAAAGTAATAAATACACATTAAATAACTCTAATAGATATTAAATTGTTAAAATTGTGGGCCGAAATATTCTAATCTATGGCCCAATATAAAACTGAATACAAATGGCCTTTGCCTTATATATAAATACAAAAAATAAGGCTCCCACTCCAAAATATATGTATTTGTTAAAATTGCAAGCCAAAATAATTTCAAATTTGCGAGTCGCGGTAGCATCGCTCCAAAAATTTATTCATCACTCTGCTCGTCCAAGGTCGCTTGAGTTGGGGGTTCCAGGAAGTGTTGTTGAAGTTTCGTGGAAAGGGGATTCCGTGGCTGGCCAGGATCTCGGCACCTGGGAAGGACCTCCGTCTACTTCTCTCCCGAAACGGCCAAGGCGGTGAGGAAGAAGAAGCCCGACCAACTGACGTACGTGACGGGCTCGCCGCTGCCCTCGGTGACCTGCTCCTCGCAGAATTGGCCCCCGAACTTGGCCATGAAGGCCAGGATTGCCATGCCGGCCAGGTTCCAGCTGCTCTCGTTGATCGACAGGTAGAGCAGCGACGTAATGTTGCCCAGGACGGTGAGGGTCTTCAGGGTCTCCACGACACCACCCTCGCCATCCTCGCCGCTACCTTCGCCCTTCACAAGGTTCAGAATCACGCTGACGGCCAGCGGCACTATGAAAAGGCCATGGCCCAAGGCGATGTTGTTGCTCTCAGCGCCCAAGTACAGATCCACGTTGACCAGCGGCAGTGGGATGATCTCCATGAAGCAGGTGGTCGTCTCCGTCACCTTCTTGGCATTGTCGTCGCCGGTCAGGCCGCTCACCAATCCGAAGAGGCCATGGCAGAACCCAATCACACAGGCGGTGAAGGCATATGGGTGCTCACTGGGTCCGATCTTGTAGAAGCCAAAACCCGTGGCTCCACAAAGTAAAACATTGAGCACGGTGCTCACAGCCGTGTTGTCCGACATCCTGGTGGGTTTCCTAATAGATCTTTATCAGAAAGAAACTTGCTTTCTTGCTTTTATGCTAGGTTGCTTTGTGCTTTTTACTAATTTTAAAAGTTTGTGCTAAAACTCTTATGCTCTTACTTTCTTTCTTTGATAAAATAAACTTCTTAAATGGTGCCCATAAAACTAGGGATTACTTAACGATTTTTTTGAACCCTTGCTTTTGCTGTCGATTTGCTTGCTAAGCAAAATAAATTGATTTACCTTACTGCTTCGTTGCTTTATCAGGAAGATGTGAACCAAAGTGTTGTTTTATGAGCAAGATGAAGACCAACGATTTTTTCTTTCTCTGATTGGTTGCAAAAGTGAGCGGATGAAAAAATGTGCTTTTGCTAACTTACTTTTGTGCTTAGTTGCTTTCAAGCAAGGTGAAGACTTCTTGCTCACGTTCTGTGGGTTTTGTTTTGGTTTGGGCTTTTAAATGGAATTTCATCGAGGGATAACGCAAAAAATTCTTAATAACGGAAGGGAAAAATTTTAAAATTTGAATTTTTTCTGGATTTACGAATAGTGCCTCAGCTTAACTCGAGAATGTGTCGACCGAAACGTTGAACGAGCTGTGTGATAATGCTCCACCCGGAGTACTGACAATCTTGAAGGGCAAAGGTAAAGTCAATGCCTACTAAAAAATATAAAATTTAAATATTATTTGTGGAAGACAGAAAAAGTACAAATATTACAAAGTTGGCCCCCAAATACCTTTCAAATTGATTTCTGAATATAACACGCTTTGATTTTCGTAAATATAATTTTGTATTTTGTAAGACAATTTTCTACATTTTGCACAAGAAACCATGCTTATGGTAAAGAAAAAATCCAAGTCCAAAAAGGCCAAGAATGTCGTGAAGAAGGTGAATCTGCTGGAGGATCCCGGCAAATTGCTAACTCCGAATTGGTTCTGGACGCGGTACATAAACAAACAGATCGTACCGCCCCCAGTGGCCCGTCCTTTGGTGGAGGTGGCCGATCCCCAGATGGGGTCACCCCTGTCCAACAGCTCCAAGCTCCACATGATGGACTCCAGTGGCTTCCTGGCCGCCAGTTCGATTAGTGGCATTAAAACACCGTGTCCTCCGCCGCCGATACTGATTCCGAACGAAATGAATCCCGATTTCGAAGACATTCTCACCATTTCCCGACAAAGACTCCTGCGAAATATGGGCAACACCTTTGACATCGAGAAGATTCTACCCAAAAAGAAAAAGAACAAGAAAAAGAAAAAGGGGCACCTTAAGCCAGCACTTATAGAGATCGTGGAGCAGAAGCCGGAGGTTCCGGATCCGATACCTCCTGTCCTGGATTCCATGCTCACCGATGCGGTCACCGCCCACGATTTCGAGCTCATCTGGAGGACGGATAGCGCCAACCCGAATATATCCTTTGCCCAGGCACTCCAGCAAAAGGCAAATCGCAAGTTGGGTGAGTTGTACTAGCTTAAAAGGAGATATAGTTCTTAATAAACAAGCTTGGAAACTTAGTAATTAGAAAAATAAAGGAATATTTATACAAATTTTATAAACGATACCCAAAATTGGTATTTACATCACTTTATTTAATGGCATTGCTAGATAAATCATTATTAATTTAAATTAAATCACTAAAACAAAAACCACCAAGCCGCAGATTTAACTAGTATAAAAAGCCCTTAAGAATATATTTATATTGTATTGTATATCTTTTTATTTTCTTAAGCGACATAAAGAAAATTTTAATTGGCATAGTCAATTGAAATTAGCTCCACTCACTTCTTACTTCAAATTACAGAAGAAAGCAATTAAAAAGGACATCATTTTCGACTTATACTACCTAGTGATATAAAGATATAAACCAGTTTTTTACATTTTCCAGCCAACTATGAAATCATCTGGGAGGCCATTAAAAACTATTTGCACGATGACCTGGAGATCCAGATCGAGTCGAAGTTCTACCACGTGGACCGCTTCCTGTTCACCCACTTCGCCCGCAATTTCCGCGGCTGCTCGGGATCCTTTCTGCAGATTCCGGTGCAGAAGGTGCAGATGAGCCTGATGATCCACATCTACAACTGGATGCTGGGCGAGGCGAAGGGGTTCCCCATTGGCAACGACCTGATACCCTTCATCATGGCGGCCAAGTTCCTGGGTGTGAGGAAGCTGGTGCAGCAGTACTGGAACGCCTTTTCCCCGGGTGGCCGCAGTGGAGTGTGGGAGCTGAATGCGTTCCACACATATCTGGTGGCCAGGGAGTTCCGGTGCCCCGACACCATGGCCCTGATGATGTCGCGGGTGCGGAAGTGCTTCCTGCCATTGGTGGCCTCCAGGGAGTTCCTCGAGTTCGATGCCAACGAGGTGGCCTGCCTGCTGCGCCAGGACATGCTGTGCGTGAACACCGAGGACGAGGTCTTCTTCGCCTGCCTCTACTGGGTGGACTTCGCCTGGGCGGAGCGCAAGAAGCACGCGGTCCATCTGCTGGCCAAGATCCGCTTCGCCCTCCTCTCACCCTCGTTGCGCCGCTCCCTGTGCAACTTTCCGGAGACCGCCCACATCGGGGAGATTGCCCGACTGCCGCAGGTGGGTGAAAATATTATTTTAGTGATGAATTGAAAACTTAATTGGGCAATGTAAAAGTGTTATCCTAGTCAACCCAAAGCAGGCTTAACGAAATCTTATATTAGAACATATGAAGCTGAAGAACTCACTATTACATTAGCTTTATGGGTAATATAAAAAATATATTTGAGCAAGTGAAGCTTAAGAATTTCATAGTTAAAAGCAATCCTAATGATACAAAATGCTCGTAATAAAGCATACTTAACAAGAAAGGAAAGCTAACTTCGGGCGGAGCCGAAGTTGAAATACCCTTGCAGAATATTCTGCAAATTATATTCTCCAAAATTATTCATATGATGCATTTTTAATACTCATAAAAAATCCCACCTTCCTAACTTTAAAAACACCAAAGTTATTTCATTTCCGATCAATCAGTTATATGGCAGCTATAGGATATAGTCGGCCGATCCTTATGAAATTGAATATGTCGAATTGATTGGGCAAAAATAAAACCCATAGAAAATCCCAACTTCCTAACTTTACAAACACCAAAGTTATGGCATTTCCGATCAATCAGTTATATGGCAGCTATAAGATATAGTCGGCCGATCCTTATGAAATTTGGTAGGTCGGATTGATTGGCCAAATATAAAACCCATAGAAAATTCCAACTTTCTAACTTTACAAACACCAAAGTTATGGCATTTCCGATCAATCAGTTATATGGCAGCTATAAGATATAGTCGGCCGATCCTTATGAAATTTGGTACGTCGGATTGATTGGCCAAATATAGAACCCACAGAAAGTCCCAACTTCCTAACTTAACAAACAGCAGAGTTATGGCATTTCCGATCAATCAGTTATATGGCAGCTATAGGATATAGTCGGCCGATCCCGGCCGTTCCGACTTATATACTGCGTGCAAAGGAAATAAGGGTGTGTGCAAAGTTTCAATTCGATATCTTTAAAACTGAGAGACTAGTTCGCGTAGAAACAGACAGACGGACAGACAGACGGACAGACGGACAGACGGACAGACGGACAGACGGACAGACGGACAGACGGACAGACGGACATGGCTATATCAACTCAGGAGGTGATCCTGATCAAGAATATATATACTTTATAGGGTCGGAGATGTCTCCTTCACTGCGTTGCACACTTTTGACCAAAATTATAATACCCTCTGCAAGGGTATAAAAATTATTAAAAAGAGCGGGTTTACAGAATACTTTTATAACAGAATCTGAGTCTAAAGAATATCTTAATGCCAACTTAGATTCAAAATATAAACATGAAGCTAAAGAATTCGCGCTTGGAAAAGAATATACAAGAGTTATCAGCAAAGCTTTGTATTTCTATTTTTTCCTGCTTAATTTTTTAAGTACTTGATGTATTTGCTGCTTGATTTTTTAACGTATTTTAATGTACTTTAATGACTTAATATTTTTACAGGTAGTCGACTGGCTTTGGGAGGGCAACCAGTACTGCCAAGCGATGTTGGTCAACGGCCAGCCGTCGAGACAGAAGGGCAAGGCGGTACAGAAGCTGCTGGAGAAGTACAAGCAGAACAAGATACCGGAGCGGTACTGGACCTACTGCCGGGGCATGCCGCACCACCATGACATGCGCTGTCCGCGCCACCGCGAACTCACCTTCGAGTCCTTCAAGCGCATCCTGCACCGCCTCCAATCGCACAGCCAGAAGTTCATGGACGGGCTGCGGTTCGTGCCGAACAAGTACTGGTACTCGTACCGCTGCTGCGTCGACGTCCAGTTCCGCCCCCACTGCAAGCGGACCTGCCCCAAACCGCCCATCTACCGCAAAGCGTTGCGCTGGGACCAGCGTTTACCCCGCGAATAATCCAGACATTGTTTTTGTTTTACCAAGATTTTCGGATCAGAAACATTGATCAGCATATAACGTAAATATAATCAATTGCAAGCACCAGTCTTGGCATCGCTTAAATCCAAAGATACTTTAGTTTATTAAAATCCGTGGAGCGAAACTGGTTAGTTTTTATTTCAATTAAAAAACCCACAAGAAAATGTCATATATTAAAAAATTATCAATAATATCTGCAAATTCTGTAAGAACATTTTCGTTTGCTTTGAATTAATAGGATGTTTTTATGTTTAAATATTTAACTAATAAATACAAACGTTGTTTTAATGTTTATTTTGAACGAGTTTAACGAAAAATATAAAATTAAATAACATGCAAATTTGATAACAAGTCGATTGTTTTGTATAAATTTTCGTGGAATCTTGGGTTAACTTTCCAGATTGTAGGTATTCCAAAAAATGAACCTGAATAAAAGGTATAGATACGCCTAATTTACCCAATGATGTTATAAAATTATTGCTTCACGAAAATTTGGATTCTGGGTAACCTTAGCCCAAGGAATACTGTGTATATATGTTATTCAGACTCCGACTAGTCCAGTGAAGGAGCCTCCAGGTGGACGACGATGCGAACGCTCCCATCGGGTTGGATTACGACGGGGCTCTCGCTGTCGGGGTCACCACCCTCGGATCCCGTGGTGACCACACTAGAGCTGTCCTCGTAGTGCTCGTCATAGCCGGCGAATTGTCGGCGGTTTCCCGCTGAGGAGTTTGGATTGCCTTGAATCTGGGGATTCTGGGGACCCTGGGCAGGTGCCTCCCGCACCTGGCCACCCATGTAGATCCTCACATTCTCGTCGGTGTAGTTGACAATGCGACGATTCCGGCGACGGACGTAGAGCTTCTGGCGGAGGTAGATCTTCAGCAGGCCCTTCGCCCCGATGTAGGAGATCCCGCCGAGGATGGTGCGATGCAGCGGATCCTCCATTCCCTTGAAGAACAGATTCCCCATGGCGGTGGCCACGGTGGGCAGGAAGACGGCTCCGCAGAAGAGCCGGGAGATGTTGATGGGTTCCGATATGGCCGGTATGTTGTGCAGCGGTATCAAGCTGCTGGAACTGCCCCCCAGAGCAGCCAAATCCGTTTCCGGTTCGCCGGCCCAACTGAAGAAGGGCAGCTTCCTCAGGATGTTGTACCTACTCCGCATGACCCGCAGCACGGCATCCTCCCACCTGACCAGCCGGGATAGGACCAGGCCCACCGGGATGAAGGGCAGACCCACCAGCAGGAACACCTCGTTTTCCATGAGCTCCAGGCCGCGCCGTTGGCCCACCACCTGGAAGACGGTAACGGCCCCGTAGGTGATGGCCGTCCAGTACACGCAGCACATGAACACCCCGGCCGCCAAATAGGGACACGTCCTCCGCACCGTGTAGTCCAGCCACTCCAGCGCTCCGGCCACGGGATTCATCCGGGGAAACACGATGATGTACTCCGTCTGACATTGCTGGCACAGCACCGAAGTGCGATGATTGCCACGCTGCTTCTCGTCGATCCAGCGGTACAGGCAGCTCTGGTGCACCCACTTGGTGGCGCCACGGCAGCGACACGGCTGCACCCACTTGGCCCGCCGGTTGTCCTCCTCGTTGGCGAAGCATATCCAGCAGGAGCGGTCCAGGTCCGGCTCGGAGCCCTCCGAGTAGTGATTGGAGCCACCGCTGCCCCGCATCTCCGACAGATCGAGATCGCACTGCAGGTCCAGTTGGGAGTCGACATGCTGGTAGGATAGGTCCAGTTCCTGCTCCATTGAGTACCCTTATCACACTACGGTTTGGTTACGAAAGATGGTCCAAAAGTTGTCCAGATATTGGGGGAAGGCACTGGCAGAGCTGTGACTCGTCATGCAATTTCTATATTTGGTTTTTCTCCTCCACAATACTGCCCAATTTTGGGTCAGAAGCCACACACTTACTGTGAACCAAACGAAAATTGTAATGACACTGAAGGTACAACCATGATGATTGAACAATCGGGGGTAATCTGAATTAAAATCAATTTTTTTTCAATTTCAAAAGACAAATAAACTAAACTGATCACTTCGGACCCTAATGATTTTTTTCTAGCTTTTTAGATTATAGTTTTAACATTCAAAAAAACATAGTGAGTATTAAATGTAAACGCATAATCTTTGTAATTAAAATATGTTTAAGTTTTGGCAACCAAATCTCATTTATATTAGCAGCTATATAGTTTTAGGTTTTATTTGTGTAGATTTTATCAGAAATAGATGCGTGTACTGTTAATTTTTTCAGTTCGTTTTTTGTGGTATACTTTTAGGGGCAACTAAATAATATTTTCTGCAAGGACTTTTTTGTATTCCTCTGCCCTTAATGTACTGTGATGTATTATTTATATTAGTCTTAATAAAACTAGTTTCTGCAAAAAACATTCAGTTTCTAATTTACATAATCATAAGTTTTTTATTAAAACCAGTAAATGAAGAAATGATATATTAACTTTATTTGATATTTTTTCATCTTCTTCACTTTAATAGCAAACTTAAACACCTGAAAGTAGACTATGAATTTGTAGGAAACCAATTTTATTTTCTATTGTAAAAATACTTTGCCCAAAAGCTTGCTTTAAATACCAAGAAACAAATCAGACATCATTTAATAGGGTTTAGATTTTATTCGATATCTCTTCGATTCACATATGAATAGGTTGTTTCGTTTGTGTGGGTGTGTGTCATTTCCGTTCCAATTCCATTCGTTTTGCTCCCGTTTCGGCCACTCATTTCCGGCTCAAACTGCTCTCAAATATCACAACTGTTAATAATAAGCGACTACAAGAATTGCGCACAAAAAAAAATCATTTTGATATAGATACAAAAAAAAGCACTACAGCTAGAAAAAAAACGTGGAAAGCGTTGATTTCCTCAGCAATTGGGGCACTTGACCAGTCCGACTTCATCGCAATTCATGCACTTTAGGGCCACGAACTCCGTCGTAAAGTGGTTCCGGTGCACCGACTTCTTGGATCCGCTGCACGAAGGACACGGCAAAAGGCGATATCCTCCACACGTCTGGCACGTATACGCAGTGGCGATCGACTGCAAAAAATGAAAGATCACTTTATTAAGATTGAACTGGGTAAGAAAATTGGTAGGAATATAAACAAAAATCTGCTAATAGTGTAGAAAAATGAGTAGAATATTTTAAAAGAATTTTCAGCAGGAAAAAATAAATAAGACAATTTGGACAAATTGTTTTTTAAGGCATATCGGAGTCAAAGTATAAAACTTTTCAAAATAAAATTTTTTTTTTTTTTAGGTAACAACTTACTTATACAACAAATTTGCCTATTAAAATTTTACAAAAATCTTTGCAGAACTTATCTCTCTTTAATCAAACTTAAATTAACTAATATTTTATTTATATTTTCAGCTCACTTTGTACGGTTTCAGCAGCTGTCGCAGTTCCCCACTTTCATTCAGTCGCTCCACAGTGTCGGCATCCTGTGATTAAATTAAATTTAAATTAGCTGATAAACTTATTTACTTATTTTTATATATTTTACCCCGATGTGCTGGCCCTCGACGAAGAGCTGTGGCACCCGAATGGTCTCATCGTGCATCCTTTCCCGCATTTCCTGCTGGTACTCCACGCTCATGAAGACATCTCGCTCCTCGAATTTTATTAGCAAAGTTCGCAGGATCTGTTTAACATTGGCGCACTTGGCGTAAGTGTCCCTGATGATTCCCATGCTGGTGGTGTACAAGACCACCTTGCCCAAGTCCTTTTCCATGTAATTCTGCAATTGAAGGAGGATTAATATTATATAATAAATAAATATAATATAAGTGATACAAAACGTTAAAAAATAGAAAACATTTAGTGTAGTAGTACTGCACCTCAAGGCCAGTAAAATATTTGTATTCTTCTCAGCTTGATCACTCTAAAACTATTAAGTGTCAATATTGTTTAGTTTTTTGGGAACTATTTTAAATTCTAGTGAGTATGATTATTAATGAACAAATTACTAAATTAAATTATTTAAATTTATTTTGGCCTTTTACTTTGCCCAAACTTTAAAGAGTTGTTAGTATCAGTTCCATTTAAAAAAAATAAATTTATTCTGGAAAAAAAAAAACTTTTTTGATTTCAATTTTGTCTGTAGTGATTTCAGCTAGGGTTAATATGACATGCAAACACAGATATTTTCGTAAGCTCAATTGTGTGTGATATCTGGCACTCGATCGCTGATTCACACCCCGAAATGAGATGTTTGTTACAATAAGCCAACTTGTAGGTTGGCCAATAGATCGAGGGCATCTTCGGCTTGCTCCATCGCCTTTGTTTTTAGTTTTTAGTTTTTAGTTGCAGGTTTTCAGTGTTTAACCTTCCCCCCACGAAGCGGGAAAAATGGTAACAGCCTTGGCCGAAACACTTGAGCCACATGGAGAATTGTGGTTACAAATCGCTCGCCTCGCTAATTGCCAAGCGAAATACTTGTTAAACGAAACCGAGCCGGTTTGTTTTCCAGACTCATTAGCGGATCGCACTTGGGATCGGGGAACAGAGCGTTCTCTCAGACGGGTTCTTTCAGTGCCATCCATTATCCATTATCCACTATCCATTGAATTGATGCCCCATACCGCATGAGCCCACTCCAATCACAACGGATCCAATTGAAAATTACACATTGCCAATTTGTGTAAATGGCAAATGAATGTCCGAAGTGAAAACTTTGCACAATGCGAAATGCGAATTATTTTTCTCGATTCGGGGGACCTGTTTTTTTCTTCATCGAGGAGAAGAGAAGAGAAGGGGGGCTCTTCCGTTAGTCAGCCTGATTAACTAGATTTTCATCGCCGGAGACAGACGATACCTTAAACTCGATCGAATTTCCCGCGGCGAATAGTTTGCCGCAGTGAGTTGTCAAATTTTCCAAGATTTATCGGCAACAGAAACATAAATTAATAGAGCAGGACATATGGCAACTATCCAGAGAGTTATGAAGGTGAAATGTGATCTGAACATGAGAAATGGGATCAAATTAATTGTGTCTCTCGCGTTTCGAGCGCTGTCGCAAGGGAATTGGTTTGCATTAACCATCGAAATGGCATAAAAAACCGAGCAGGTCTTAATTAATAACTAATGAAAGCCATTTATTTCACTAACTACATCAACAGGTTTCCAAATTTTAGTGCACTATTTGGATTATATTAATATTAATAATCTTTCAAAAGGAAATCAGCTGGCATGAACTATAAAACAATAAATCAAGTTGAGCTTATCTTAATGAGTAATAATTGCTTGCTATAATAATTGCTTACTTAATCAATATATTTTATAGTCTATTAACGTATAGTTTTGATTAGTATTGAGGTAAAAATGCCCTTTTTAACTTTAGTTTATTTTCAAAGAACTTTCATTAATAAAATTTAATAGACTGTTGAATCTGTTGAAAAACAAATTGACAAAAGTGACTGAAACATTTTATTAGACTTTATTTATCTGCTAAATTTTTTGAATATTTTTTTCTTACTAAATAGTTATAAAGTACACCATTTTTCTTTAAGTAAAATGCCCCACAATATTTTTGTAACCACAAAGTTATCCGATTTATCTTGTGGCAAATGGAAGTGAAGTCGGGCGAAACTGAAAATTCCTAGGGAATCTACCCCGTCGACTACTTTGCTGTTTTCTCGACCTGCATGGGCGCATTGCACTTGCATAAGTTGCAAGTCCACGTCGCATATCCAACCCCCTCCCCGCCCCCTTGGCAGGTGGCAGCGCCTCAGGTGGCGGTTATTTAATATATGGCATATCATAACCAAACATAACGCCGCTCGCGAGAGATGTAAACAAATGTATGGCTGGTAAACTGGTACATTAATAGTTGCCATTTGCCATTAAGCCTCATTTGTCGCTCCTCCAACGAGAGTTCAAAGCCATCGAATGTAATGAACATGTTCATGAGAATAAAAACTATAAAAAAGATGGCCAACTAAACGGGTATGAATATGAATGAGGCTGTGAACCGCAGGCCAAATAACTTAAAAATCTGTGCATTGAATGTAATGAAAAAATACTAAAAAAAAATAAAGGAGGGCTATGAGTATGAATATGAATATGAGTGTAAACAAGGCTGTGAACTGTGAACCGCAGGCCAAATGACAACTCAAAAATCTGGCCATCTTCTGCAGAACGCCAAACACTACAAGCCAAAGAAATACACGAAAAAAAGACACTGAAAAAACAGCATCTTCAGCAGTTTTTTAAGAGCTGCGAAAGAGAAAGCAGGTCAGTTGTTCGGCAAAGGAGGGGATTGGCAATCGCTAGCTTTTGATCTGGAACTCCAAGGAGCCCCGAAAGTTATGCCCACCAAAAAAAATCTCAATTAATACGTCACACGGGCGTTGCGTAAGCCTTTTGTTTCAGACTTTCGGACGGGACGGCCAGAAAGTGCGTTTCTCGATGCCGATCGATGGATTTTTGTTTTATTTTCCTTTTGGCCTTTTGGGCAGCGCCACATAATCATGGGAATAAATTTTAAACCGGCCTCCGGCTGTCTTTTACATACGTAATGCATGGGAAAATATCTCTGCATGGATTTTTGTAAGAATTTAACACGCTTAAAATCAATATAAATATTATTTCAATAATAAAAAAATTAAATTCATTTTAAAGGTTTTTTAAAATAAATAAATTCAAGAGTCTTGATGATCAAGTCAATAGAGAACATTCTTTCCTATTTATTTAACATTTTTAAATAATTATAAAGCCACAATATATGGGAAATAAGCCACAAATATGGTCATAAAGCCCAACCTATTAAATAGTTTCATTTGAATTTTAGTCCCGAAACGCACTGTAAAAGCACTTGCTATTTGGTATTGAAGTGTGGCTGTCGACTTTTGCGGTTAAGGTAAAGCCATGATCTGTCTGCAAGTCGGTTCTCACACCCAGCTATACCAATATATATATTTATAAAGCCATCCCCCCGCATCAATGCCCCTTTCTTTTTGCATAAATTCACACACGTACGTGAGCGCAGTGGAAACATTTCACTTTCGTTTCGTTTCGTTTGGTTTTTTGTTTTCAGTTTTCAGTTATAAGGCTTTGGTATTTTTTGTATCTTTTTGCCATGCCCTGAACGAGCTTCAATTTGGCAATAATTGGATACTTTAATAAGCCCATTCCAGGCTGCTCTCGCGGCTTTCTTTTGGCCCTGAATGCAAATTGAAATTAAAATGCAGCTAACGCCCCGCGAACCTTTGTTGCCTAATTGTTCGCTCAGAAATGTATCTTTATTTATTGTACTCTCGTACAATGTAAAAGATCCACCGAAAAATGCCATAAATCTGCACCTCAGTCACGTAAATCTTTCGTTTTCATTTTCACTTTCGTTTGACTGTTGCTCCCATAAAAAGGTATTTCTACTTGGGTCTTATTCAATTGCCAGTGCTTTGTTTTGGTTTCAACTATATTCTACAATATCCGATGGCTTAATTCACAATGTTTTTGTATACCATATATAGAAAATCTTAAAATCTCTATGCTCATATTACGATTTTAAATAAACAGGTGTTTTGTATGTCAACGATTACTAATTGACGTTACTTATTGTAATGGTTTCAACGACTAAATACTTTTAGATTGCTGTCATAAGCATTAATCTTGGCACATCAAATATTGCAGTTTTATGGCTGATCTTTATTTATGTCATTTGGGTTTTGTTTTTGTTTTAATTCGCAGCTTTTTCTACTTGCCTTAAATTTGATCGTTTAATTGGGGGCAGTAAAAATGTTTTCAAGCAATTAAAAAAATGAGAAAGATGAGGATTACTGGTAAATAAGGGTCAGCAATTTTTAAGTAACTTTTTTGAGCATTTTTCCTAAATTTTGTTTCTATTTTTGTTTAATGCCAGTGCAATTTCTGGGGAAAATTATTAAATTTCAATCTTTTGGAAGGGGACTTTCGTGTGTAAGTGGGCTTGTCATCGGGTCATTACACACAGATAAACTTTCATTTTCTGGCAATACCTATTAGTGCTTAAACTTAGACACGAATGCGCATATATACGTATATTTGCCTGTGCTTAAACTCAAATTAGCTAAATGATATTTTAATGACACCACTCCAAAGGCAAAAAAAACTCGTCTCTGAAACAAAAGCCAAAAGGAATCGACTGCGGCCCATAAAATATAATTCGATCTGTCTGCTTGCTATATCCGATTGTTGTTGTTGCATAATTAACGCATTAGTCGCTCTTTATTATGATAATTTGTGTGTTTCTTGAAACATTATGCAAGCTGTTTTTAGCCAAATAATTTGGTTTCTTTCGTTTTTTCCATGTCGGTTTTTTTTTTTTTTTTGGCAATAATTATATATTGATTTTGGTTTCAAGGTTGGCTTTGCTAATTTGACTAAGAAAAATCACAAGACAAAAACTTTTGAGTCGTCCAAGAAGTTGACATTTAATTTGATGAGGCAGTAAAACTTTTGATTGAATTTGCGGATGAAAAATTAATGAATTCAGGGGTCATCGAAGATGACAGCCCTATGATATACTTGTCGAATTTTAATTAAATTCGTAAAGGTTGTTGATAGCTTTTGAAGATAAAATGTAAAGCAGGCTAATTTGTGTAACTTTTCGTATTGAATCTAAAAATATCAAATGTTTATTACAAAAGGTTATAGAATCAGAATATTACAATCTTTGAACCAACTAAAAATATACTTAAATATAAACTATAAAGTCAGTTAAATGCATTGCAGAATTTCCTAATAATTTAGAAATACTTGCATTATAATGAAACATTTTTATACATTTTTCAAAGTTACTCTGGTTTTCCGAAGCACTTAAATGCTGATCCCATTACACTTAACCAATCAGATCGGACACGAGTATTAGATAGTTGTCGATGTTGCCCAACTTGCAGGGTTAATTCGATACCCCCAGTCTGGTAAATTGATTTCGCAAAATCCCACGAAAAGGGCGTTCGAAAAAAGCAATGTGTAACTCAAGACCCGAAATACAATATCACTGACCGAGCAACCAGATGACTGGGCAAAAGTCTAGTGTGTGTTTTTTTGGAGGTGCGAGCGTGGCCAATTCGGGCTCAATAAAACTGCGATTCGACGCGCTCCCCCCACCGAAAAATGGGTCAATTAATTTCGGTTTTTTATATTTTGGATACCCCCCGTTCAGAAGAGAACTTTCCCAAAAGAGAAAACTGAAATCAAAAGTAGGGGGGAACAAAAAAAAAGACAAAGAGGCAAAAAGACACTTGCAATTAGTCAAGTGGCGGACCATTTAAGCCGGCATTTATCTAACTTATCTAGCCGACTATCTGAGTTCGTACTTCCGTCAGCTTTCTTTTGCCTTTTCGGATCTCGGATCCATATAGAGATGAAGGGCGTATGTGACATATTAAGCCACTTAACGGCGAATCAAGACAACAACAAGCTCCGCAAATAGACAGCGGCAGTCAGGTGTTAATTGTGTTTCGAGAAAGAAATTTCTCAAAATAATCGTAATGAAATAAAAAATATGAAGACCCAAAACAAATAAAAAATCAAAAGACCGATGAATCACAGAAAAGTCTGGATTCACTTTCACACGGGCCAACAAACGCGTCCTCACATGCAACTATGTATGCGCACGTATATATATATATATATATATATATATATCGGCATTACATAATGCCGTCTGACTGCATCTGTATCTTAGTTTCGGCTGCATCTGTATCTTTGCATCTGTATCTTTGCGAGTGTGGGCGTCGAAAAGTCAGCGACCCAAAGACAAAAGTTTAACAAATAAAAACAAAAATGCTAAAAATTACGCACACAAAAAATAAAAAGAAATCCATAACGAAACCGAAAACTTTCTCAATGAATAACACCCACATGCGATTGAATGAGTGTTTGTGTGAATCACTTGGCCAGTTTGAATATTTGGTTTTATTCAATTATGTCTTGGAAATTTCCCATGTGCTAATTCAATGCAAACTAATACTTAACTTATATGAATAATACAAATCATACTAAAACTAGCAACATTGTATGGCCAGGAAATGTTTAAAAGCTATACAATTGTTTAAAAATCTTTTAGAATTTTTTCTTTAAGACTTATAAAGCCTTTCCTAAAAACATTAAACACATGGTAGCTATATATTTAAACAAAATAACTACAGACTTCAAAACACTTGATTGAGTTCACTCATTTTGGAACACATATAATTGCTTCAGTTAACTGAAAGTTTAATTGCAGTTGTCAAGGCTTCTCAAAATAAACATTCTAAAATGTTGATTAAAGCGATTCAAAAAGTAGACTTTGTTTAAACAGAAAAGAAAATGAAAATGTATCTGACAACTTGACTACTGACACTTTTGATGAATTTCTTTCTTTGGCGGTGAATGCAAGTGAATTTAATTACTTTCATTGCTGAAATGTTTTTCACTCAGCAAAGATATGTACAAAGTAATTCACTTGCAATTAATAAATACACTTGATGTAGACATTCACTGAATATATTTGCAGACTGCACTTCTCCCTGACTTTTGATTGCTTAATAGGTTTGTTTTTAAAGGCATTCGTTTATAAAAAAAAGGTCATATATTGTTTATTATTATGTTATTATGTGAAACGTCTTAATCATGAAATTTTCTTTAACATGTTTTATGAGTTTGATTGATAACCTTAATCTGTTAAATTGAATTAGAAGCTAGTTCTCTCTTACGTTTATTTTAACCATCATAACAGCCTTTAGTTTCCCTAATCTATTTATTTTATTTCTATTGTATTTTACCCATCTGTTTGGTTGATGAACTCACCTTGACATTGGGCTGTTGCAGCTGCAAGAAGGTGGCTACTCCATTGCGCACACGATTCTTGACGCCCCTCACCGTTCCCTTGGCCGATCTGATGGTGGAGTTGGTGGAGTGCTTGCCCTCCGTCCGGACATCCCGATAGCCGGCGAAGTCCTCGTCCTGCGGATCCTCCGGAAAAGTCGGCGCCTCGTACTCCGTCGAGGAGCTGGAGTTGAAGCTCCGGAAGTTGTCGTGCTCGTGGACGTGGAAGGTGTAGTAGCCATCCGCCTCGTATTGCAGGGGTCTGCCATCGATCTTGGTCACCAGGGGATCACTGTGGGACTCCCTTTCCCTGAGTCGAATGTCCCGGAGGAGAGTGGTGGGCAGAAGGCCACCGGAGTGCAAGGAGTCGCAGCTGAGCGAGGAGTTGCTGCTTTCGTCGCCTTCTTCGCTGTCGTCGGTGAGACTGTAGGCCCTCGGGGGATTGGGGTTCGGGGTCACCAGGAGGTTGTCCGCCTCCTTGACCTTTAGCCTGGTGGTCTGCAGATGCAACTCCAGCTGCGGTGACCTCACCTGCTGCTGCTGCAGCTGCTGCTGCTGGTGACCCTGACCCTCCAGGTCGCTGCCCGTGCCACTGTCCAATGTTTCGCATGGCGAGTATTGACCACTGGTGTCCACCAAATAGCACAATTGCTGCTGCTGCTGCATCTCCTCCTCGTTCAGTTTTACCACACTTATCTGCTTGCCCAGTACTCGCGGTTGACCCTGGCTTTCAATTTGAATCTTCACCGTATTATTATGTTGCAATGTTGCTGCTGTGTCCGCTGCTGTTGCTGCTGGCTGACTGGCAGCAATTTCACCATTGCAACTGATTATGGTCGGTGATGTTACCGCTGTTGCACCGGCAATTTCTCCGCCAATGCGCAGCAGCAATTGTGGATAGATTTTGGTGGTCGGTGGTGTTGCCGCTGTTGCTGTTGCCGCTGATGTTGCTGTTGCTGTTGCCGCAGTTGCTGCTGCTTCTGCTGATGCTGCTGCTGTGTCGTAACTAGTTTCCAAATTATCTTTGGTTGTTGCTGCTGTGTCGCCAAATGCCAGCAACATGCCAGCCTGGGACTTGAGCGACATTTCAGTGTTGCTGTTGCTCTTGGCAGTTGCTGCTACTTGTGTTGCCGTTGCTGTTGCTGTTGCTGCTGTGGCTGTGGCCACTTCTGGCGATTCAATGATTATGGAAATACCGCGCATTGGCTCCAATCGCGAGACATTGCTAGTAATTGCCGCCATGGTTCTACAGCATTTGGTTTGGCTTTATCCGATTTCAGATATCAAATGCCTATATCTAATGGCTGCAAGTTGATGCAATCAAATGCCGGCTAATGATGTTGCTGCTGTGCGTTCCACTTGTTGCTGCTGCTGCTGATTTTCCTGCTGACCGTTGCCAAGTGCTTTACAGTTAGACGACCGCATGTAGATTGCTGCATTTGCTGTTGCAGTTGCTGCTGCAAAGAAGAAGCAAACCAGAATTGCGTTAAGGAGACACTCACAAAAATTTAAATTAACAATCCAAAAAGGTTATAAAACAAAGATTTTTATTTTCCGAAACATTATTCCAAAAAGGTAGGAAAAAGTGACTTAAAAAAATCAGTTAATTAGATTGTAAAAATCACCCCAAAGTCAAGTTAAAATATTCTTCGTCTTGAGAAATATTGTTTGAAAAATTATATTTTAAATATGCAAAATGCCCAAAATGTTTGAAAGTATTAATATTTATTGAACATTTTTTTAAACGCAGAGAATATTTTTAAAAGCTGCTTTGAATAGACAAACACATCTTAGGCATCTTTTAAGTATAATTAATTTTGGGGTCATATATTTCTGAGTGTGTAAGCCGCCACACGAGCTTGACATTTAAGCCGAAGATGATGCCGAATAAATGTTAAAAGCTTTGCAAGCGTACAAAAAAAAACAGATGGGAAACCAGAAAAAACAATAATCATAATAATGATAAACACAAAACCACAAAAAGCACACAGAACCGGCAGAAGAATGCCATTAAAACAAAAGGGAGTCGAGACCCTGAAATACCCTGATATTTTAGAAGGTGTCGTTATCTAGTGGTATGTGATTTCTTGTGATACGAACTTGTATATTGAAAATAAAGCCTAACTGGTTATATTTAATTAATTAGATATCATGTTTGAAGAATTTCCTGGCCTTTACCAATATCTAATTATTGGTAAAGACTTAATAATTCACAAAGAAAACTTATATGTTAGTTATAAATATTTATTTTATTTTATTTACATTTAGCATTTCTTAAAAACTATAAGTAAGCAATATTTAATTTTCACAATAGCAGGTGTTTTAGAAATATAAATTGCAATCAAACTACTTTATAAACAAATTGTTTAATTATCGCAAAATGTTCGGTTTCACATAAGGCATAACAATTTATTTTCTACAAAAACTAAGTCTGTTTTTTTAGACTAGTTTGTTGTGTTTATTTTCTTTTCTTTGACACCCATTGTAATGACAGTGGGTCAAGCCGTATCAATTAGTGCAGTAACTTCTTGAAATCGACAGGGAATGTTCTTCGGAGTAAAGAACAAGTCGGGATTTACATTTGAATAGCTGGGGAACTTGAAATATTGGGCGCGCTCTGCCCGCGGCATTTTTTGTTCGGTTTTTTCCGATTTTTTTTCTGTTTGGAATCTGGAAACTGGTTACACTTGAACCTGGTATTTCTCCGTTTTTTTTTTTTCGTTGTTTGGAAATATTTGAAGCGGCGCTTACCCGTTGATGTTGTTGCTGCTGGCCTGCATTCGCCGCTTATTGCACACAATTTTCATTACACACACACATCGAAAAATAAAACAAAAATCAGAAAATTCGGAAAAACAGTTTTGCACTTCGAGAGATTTTTATTGGGGTATATTTTCCATATATTGAGCACGCACGATGGCTGTTTTCCTTCTCGGTTTTTATTATCTTTGTATTTGATATATGAAATTGATCGGTTTGGAAATATTTTCAGTACTCGCCGCGCGTACAACTCATTCAAAATCGCGCTGGCAACTGAAAACCGCAGCAACAAAGTCGCTTTGGGTTGGCGTGTTTCGCCAGGGATTGTTTTTTTTTTTACTTCTTCTTCGTCTAGAGCCCTCTCTTTCTGCCACATAGTCTCCATCTCTTTCTGAAGCCAGTTGTTGTGGTTTTTTAATTTTTGCTTTCAAGAAACTCACAAAAAAAGCAGCAGCCGCAGAAATTACCTGAAACAAAAACAAGAGAGCTGCACTTTCGCAAAGCGAAGAATTGAATACCCTTTTAATTGTGGCTTGGAGACATTTTATATACAGAGTTTACATAGATTAAAGATAAGTATTCATTATATTTTAACATTTGATTTCCACCTGAAAATATTCTTTAAAAACATAATTCAAGACCACAAAAGTAGTGATCAGATAAAAGTTTAAGAAAAAAAGAAAACAAATTTGGTTGTTTGCTATTAAATCTATATTATAAGCCAAAATTATCACCTTTAATATTAAATGTATAATATTTATAATTAATATATTTTCTATCGTAAGTCAATTTGTTTAAGCTAAATACAGATCCTCAAAAAAAAGTGTTTCTACATTATTGTATTTTATATATTTCCTTACCTCTTAAAAATAAAAAAAAATTAGTAAAACAATGTATTGTATATTAATGTAACAAATTGTGTGAAAAACTCAGATTACCCTTTCGACAAGTACAACAAATATGCGGTGCGAGAATTTGTTTACGTGCGCAGGCGCAGCCGCAGTCGACGTCGATGCCTCTGCCGCAGTCGCTGCTTCGGCCGGCGTCGACGTCGGCACTTGTCCGCCGCCTTTATTATTGTTATTGTTGTTAGTGTTGCTGGTGGCGCAGTACTCGTTTGTTGCCAAAGTTAATTGTTTGCTGCCGCAGCTGCACAGTGGAACATCGAAAAGTGCGGGGCACAGTGGGCACTCGAATGGAATGTGGCAAGGCCTCAAACTGGTTTTCAGTTTTTAGGGGCTCAGGTGCGACGATGCCGCGATTGAGACTTCAACTCCGGAGCAGGAATTCCGCTGGCAATCAAAACAACTCACAGGTAAGATTGGTCGAGTTCGAACCAAGAATTATGAATATAGGAAACGTTTAGAGACTCCGCTAGAAAACTAAACATGTTTTATCGAAAATGAATTATTAATCAGTATTTTTCTAAGTATTCAATCTTATGGTGTTATGCTATTAAAAGGAAATATTAGGGAAATATTTTAGGGAACTTTCTTTTCAATTTAATTTATTTAAAATTATTTTTTTTTTATTGAAACGGTTAAATATGATGGTCAAGTATTTTCGGGTAAACTATATAATATCAATGAATACATTCTAAGAGCTCTCAATCTGTAAGCATTGTTTTATAAATAAATTTATTCATCATGTTTTCTGACAATTCAAATTTTAAAACAAAAAAAACTTTTTCTTTGCTGAGATAAACTTGAATAGGTTGTTGAAAGAACTAAAGTGAGTTCTTTCACATACTTGTGAAACGAATAAAATTGGTTGTCATTGTCAAATATTTTTCGTAATAAATATTGCATTTTGACCTAGTATCTTTCCACTTCCCACGCGTTTTAGCCCACTGTGCATGCCACTGGCGGTCGCATACACGTCTTTGGTTTTTTTGTTGTTTCTGTGGCTGCATTTACTTTTTTTTGGCTTAGCTATTTCATTTTTTTTAACTATGCATATATCTATCTTTATCTGTGCTGCTGCTGACTCTTTCTTTCTTCTTACTACCTCTCTTTCTTGCCTTTTCATCTGACAAAGTTGAGTGCATTGTTATTTATGATTTGTTATCCCTTGCAGAGGGTACAGTATTATCTGAGTTTTAACTTTATTGGATGAAATACTTGTTTTTATGAACAATAAACTCTAATACATATATAAAACTTAACTAACTTATAAAAGTCATTTGATATTTTTATGCATTTATAAGATAACAATAAAGGTGGTCCACACGCAAATATAAAAAGCTGGCTTATTTTTGATTTATATTACAATTAAAAAATATGTTAATTTAGTTTCATCTTCTGGTTATGAATTTATATCGATATATTGACAGATTAATTTTTAATTTTTAATTTTAAGAGAATCATAACAGTTTATGTTAATGCTAATTACCTGGATTTCCATTGGGTGGTTCGAGAACGGAAGAGTTTGGTCAAAAACCTAAGGTCTATGGAACCATCGCTTATTGTCCCCACCTCTACGAGCCATATATAAAACCGAAATTTCCGCTTAAAAATATAAATACAAGCAACAACTTTCCTCCATGCGGCTCCGCTGGCTGAACAATTGCCGATGGATTTGTGCTTTTAATTATATTTAATACCAAAGTGTTTATGCAAAGGAAAAGAAGAAACCGAAAGAAAGACGCCTCGAATTTGTGTGTGCAATCAACGGAATGTAAAACTCGGAGTATGCAGAAAGTACGAGTGCAGCAGCAACATGCAACAGGCATTGCAGCTTGTAATTTACCGCTAATTCGATGCAGTGAGACGTCCAACGATGACGACTATGAACCGCCCGTGCCGCCCATCCCCCCGTACCGCTCCTCCCCGTCCCGCCCAACTCGGTGGCCGGTCACTTGGCCAGTTTGTTTCCGCCTGTTGCGCTCCGCTGAAATCACAAGGGCTGCTGCAGGCGTTGCCCAATGCAGATTGCCGTTGCACATGCCCACACAGACAAATGCACTTAAAAAAAAACATGTTTTACAAAATTGAATAGTTTGGAATTTTAGATCATTTTTAAGACACCCTTTATGCCAATAGCTCATTATTTGCCAAAGTAAAAAATATTTTAAGTTTGAGCCAAGAGAATGTTGGAAATTAAAAGCATAAAAATGTTGGTCTTTAAACCTCCACAATATTTCCATAAATTATATTTTCTCAAAAGGAAAAGTAAAATATGTAAAAAAATTGGAAAGTTTACAGTGTTCTATATTATTTAATACAGATAGATTAGTTTTTCAGTTGTGATATTAAAACAATCTATTATTTTAGCTAGGAAAAATCATTTATTTTAAATGCAACATTTTTATTGATTAAATCGTTTAAGATTAAACATCCATTAAATAGCTAACAATCATTGAAAAGACTAATTAAGCTTTTATTTTTTTCTGTGTCCTACTCACAGTTACTTACTGGAAAGAAATTATCCAAGCTTCACAGCATTTGAAGAAGTTTCAACTTCATAAGTTGTTATGACTTCTGGTACTGTAAGGCATGTTTAAAGTAATTAAAACGTTTAAGCAAATTATAAGAGTTTTAAGAAATTAATCATATTTATAGCAAAAATCGTGAACATAAGAAAAATAAGCCCCAATGCAAACAATAAAAAACAAAGTCTTGAAAAGCCCAAAATTTCAATGTTCCAATTGAAATGCAATATGAACTTAATTTTTGTATTGTTTATTGTCGTTTAGTTGGAATTTTCGTTTTGGTTTATCAGTTGCGAATTAAACATTAGTAAATTATGATACGTTGTATTATCTTTATCATCATTTCATGTGTTCAGTACGAATGAGTGAATTTTACATCAATTACGAGACCCTTGAAAGCGAGTAAAATAATGGTAACAATATAGTAATAATAATAGAATCTCCTCGAGTATATATAATTATTGCTTCGACGTAAATATATTTATGCTTTTTCATTATACTCCATTTGGATTTTTTCAAACTGTGGGTTGTGTGTTCTTTTCGGGTAGTAGAAGGTCGTATATGTTTCGTTTTGGTTTAAAACTCGTTTCGTAGGGGTTTCTTTTTTGTCAACATCAATAACACTTAATACATGTATAATATATGTTTTTTTCCTTTCGCTCTAAATAGATGTATATAATATATCGATGTAAATATACCATAAATAAATGTAGAATTTATAATACAGTGAAATCAATGGCTTTTTGGGCGAGTGAATTGATTTAAAAGAGTATTCTATTTTGCTCGATATTAAAAATGGCCAAGTACCGTCCATGTTCTTTGGAAAATAAAACCCAAAACATCTACGTGATCTTTTAAGACGAATTCACACACCCATTAGCTGCATTTCAACACACATAAATATATGTTTATATATATTCGTTATTTGTATAATAATAGTTCTTCAATGCGATGATATCGTGAGTCATTAAACCCTAAGCTGCCTTCTCCAGTTATGTATATGTATATAGAGTTCCTTTTCCACCTAGTTGAACGGTTGCGTTTGCGTTTTGTTAATGTTACTTTCAATGTAAATATATAATATGTTATATAGCTACGGATACACTATTTAATCTCGAGTGTGTAGATCATAAGTACAATGGAGTGGAGAGCTATGGCGATGATATCGGTTATCAACAAGTAATTTGAATCGTATAACTTTCGATTAGAGCAAAACATAACACGTGTCCAATATATCTCCCTTCCCATTTCTCTATAATAACACTGAGACGTTAAAGTGGTTTTCAAAGTTTTAAGCATAGTTTCGGATGTGATATGATTTCGCCTGCACGAGCAACATTATCCTCGATAAACAACAGTAAACACAGAAAGCCGAGCTGATCACAACAGAGAATGAGCTGTGGTAGGTATAGAGTCACTATATAGTTATATATCTCTTATAGGTGGTGCCCCATGCTCGCATGATATGGTCAAATCAAACAATTAAGTCTAGAATACAGCGTAGTTATCGTATATAGTTATATCGTATATAGTCAGCAAGTCGTGGATGTGGCAAAGAGTGCGTTTCTCTTCGCTAGCGAAATCGGATATGTGGACCCTATAAGGGTGGCCATACAACAACTCAGCACTCTCTCTTTTCTTCTTTTCAAAAAAAGAAACCCAGAAGAAAAAGGCAGTGGAAATAATAATAATCGCGCATATATATATGGCCACATGGTAATGAAGTTATGCGGAAATATTTCCATTGATTACGGCCTTTGTTTTTATGTTTTCTGATTTTCTATAGCTTTCTGCTTGAATGAAACCGCGCATCCAGCGTCGAGTTTATACCTACTATTGCTATTTTCCTATTTTCCTTGTTGTGGCTGCATTGCTTTATTTGTTTTTGATTCCGTTTTTGGTTTTATCTTCGAACAGTCTTTGGGACCATATAGGAGTGTTTTGATATCGACGCCGCCTAACATCGGTGAGTGCTTAGTTATTGTCCATATTTACATCGAGATTCGTTATATTTCCTCCGTTGCTATTTCGGTTTGGTTTTGATCTGTTTTATTGTCGTTGTTGTGTATGTTCCGCGGGGATCCTCTGGGCCTCTACTCCTCCTCCTCGAGGGACTTCTCTGGAAGTCCATACTTCGGGCAGCACATGCCCTCCGTTCCGTCCATGTTGAAGCAGAAAATGCTGCGTTCCAGTTCGGTTGGTTCGTGGGGCACGATGCCATGGACTTCCCTTAGTTCCGCCTCGGGAAACCAGGCGGGATCCGAGTCCTCCACCACCTTGATGCCACACAAACTGAAATCCAGAAAATGGGTAAAAAAAATAATTTAAAATAATTGGTTTTTCAACCTACAGAGGACGTAACCTATTTTGAATTTTGAATGAAAACCTTAAATACATATTTTAAAGATTAATCTATACTTCAAAAATCATAATCAAAATTAATTCGCTAATGAAATTATTCGAAAGTATTAATCTTGATGGATATATGATAAATCAAAAATTCTGTATCCCACATTCAACTTTTTTGTGAACATATTTAAATTCTCACCGCAGCACCGCCACAATCGGGATCCACAGGATGGAGGAGAGGATCAGGAAGAAGGCGACGACGATGCACCAGTGGGGCCACTCCTGGTTTTCGGAGGCGCCCTTGGCTCCGATCCAGGCGGGATAGCTGCTGCCCTCGGTCAGGAGTTGGTAGAAGGAGGCCAGCAGGATGGTGACCATCGCACAGGGCGACAGATACTTCCAGCAGAACATCCAGTAGAAGTTCGGCCGCGATCCGGTCATCATCTCTATGTCGTCCGAGAATCGCCGCACCCCATAAATGTAGCTGATCGACAGGCACTCGAAAAGCGCGATGATCAGCAGCGGGAAATTGCCGGCGAAACTGTCCATCAGCTGGAAAATGTAACTGCCAGCTCCGTTGGCGAAACACATGGAAATCAGGCAGCAGGAAAAGCAGAGGGCCTGCGATAAATGAAAGGTAAATATTAGTTTAGACTAAGAATCAGTCTCATAATAAAATTTATTTTTAACGAAATAAACACAATTGTATATTGATATTCTTTAGTTATTTTCTAAAAGCAATTAATGGATAAATTCTCACCCCCACAATATATTCCTTTGGCAGATTGGGGAATAGCTTCATGTCCACCAGCGAGGTGACCACGCCCTCCAAAGTTCCAAATTGCGAGTCGATTCCCAGGGTGAAGAGCATCAGGAAGAACAGAACCGCCCAGAGTTGGGCGCCCGGAAATTGATTGATCGCCTCCGTGAAGATAATGAAGGCCAATCCTGTGCCCGAAGCACTCTGCAAAGGTACATATAAGATATTAGTAGTAACTACTATATATACTATATAAAAGGCATTTACCCAGATATAAACTTATCATTTTTTATTACGTTACTTCATTTCATCTGGATATATATATTCTTAATTGTGGACCACTTGACGTATGCGTAATTTTTGTTAGGCATTAATGGTTAAGACCCTTACAAAAATTACGCATTCGTCAAGTGGTCCACAATGTCTCTTGCAATATTTATAAGACTTTTAATAGAATATAATATATTATTTACCAAGATATAATCTTATTATTTCTTATTACGTTACTTCATTTCATGTGCATATATATTTTTAATTGTGGACCACTTGACGTATGCGTAATTTTTGTAAGGCATTTAAGGTTAAGACCGTTACAAAAATTATGCATACGTCAAGTGGTCCACAATGTCGCCTGCAATATTTATAAGACTTTTTTTTTTTCAATTACAATCTTTTTGCAAGATGCTGAAAAGTTCTTTTTCTCTACTTTTTTATTGATATTGCATTGTAATGAACTTATACTCACATTGGCCAGCTCGGTTTGCAGATCGCATATGGGCAGGTTGTGCGTCTTGTTCTGGGCCATCAGCCCGTTGCGCTCCTCGGTGCAGCGGTCAAAGGTCGCGGTGGCCTTGAACCCGATGACCGAGAAGACCACCACCCCCGCGAACATGGAGGTGCCGCAGTTCGTCAGCGACACGAGGATGGCGTCCCTGTAGCAGTTATTGTTGGCCGGATTGTACGAACTGAAGGCTATCAGTCCGCCGAAGGCCAGGCCCAACGAGAAGAAGATCTGGGTGCCGGCCTCCAGCCAAACCACCGGGTCCAAGAGGGTCTCCCACCGCGGCGTGAACAAGTGGGCCACCCCGTCGGCGGCTCCCTTCAGGGTGATTCCCCGGAAGAAGAATATTATGAGCACCACATAGGGGAATATGGCGGTCATGTAGACGATCTTTCCAGACGATGTGATGCCCTGCACCATGCAGATGTAGACCAGGAACCAGGAGACGATCAGGGCGATGGCCATGTGGTAGTTGAAGTTCTCCGGCAGGTCCACCGATTCCGAGCATTGCAAGGTGGTGCGGTACCAGTAGAACTGCGTGGGCGACGAGGCCACACACTCCGGCTCGTGATCGTAGGTAAAGTTCTTGTACAGCCTCGTCGGACAGTCGGCCCACGGCAATGGCGACTCGAAGCTGTGCAGCAGATAGATCAGGCACCAGGCGATGATCGTGTTGTAGTACAGGGCCACTATGTAGCTAACCACCGCCGACGAGATCCCGATCCCGCCCAGATACGGCGACACCTGGCTCCAAACGCCAATCGCTCCTTTTCGCAGCCGCTGGCCAATGGCCAGTTCCAGGTAGAAGATGGGTATGCCCTGGATGCACAGCATTATGAAATACGGCACCAGGAAGGCCCCGCCCCCATTCTTCTGGGCCAAGTACGGGAAGCGCCACACGTTCCCCAGGCCGACGGCATAGCTGTGGATGGGAAATTAGTTAGTGGCGGTATAATATTGTGACTAAGAATCCTTGAAGAACCCTTGTATTCATGCTCTCGAAATGCCAGTACAAACAGTACACTACACAGAAATCAGAAACAATGTGCAAAAGTGTCAATCACTAAAAATATAAAGTCTGTACAGAATTTAACTACTTGACAAAGTGATGAAGACAATTAAAAAGCCATCGATCTGCATTAAAATTATGGATAATATATATAATTCGGATGAAATAGTCGAGCAAACTGTTAAGAACTTTTATAAAATGGTCTAAAATACCAAAAAAATGCAAAGAAACTTTAATATTTTGTAGATCTTTTATAAATATTTAAAGTTTTAAGTCTGCTAAAATCTATCAAAAATTCTAAATCTACTCAGATCCTTAAATTATAATTATATTCAAGTAATATTTAAGTTTCAACTGGTGTGTTCTGAGCATGAATACGGAAAATCTCTGTAAGCTGTAAGAACGCACCCGATGGTGGCCAGCAGGAACATGATCTTGCTGTCCCAGGACTCGCGCTCCTCGCCCTCCTTCTCGCCCTCGACGATGTCCTGCTGATCCGCAGCGGAGGAGGCGTTGGCCACCAGCTCGGCCTTGGCCTTCGAGGTGCTCGCCTCCGAGCCGAAGGGCGGCGGGTCCTGCTCCAGTTCCGAGGACTCGTCGAAGGCGTCCGACATGAATCCCTGGTTGGTGGCCCCATAAAGTGGCTGGTGGTGGTGCAAGGATGTGTGGTGGTGGTGGCTGACGCCATGCTCCTTCGTTACCAGGCGACCTCGCAGTTCCTGGGGAAATTAATTGGGTTCAGTAATTGCAGAAGCACAAGGACACAAATGTTAACGGTCTTATGTCCTTTTTTCGCAAAAAATAATCGCATTTCCTAGCAGTTTTCTAAGCAAACTTCTAAATGAACAGGATTTCAAATTCTTAGAAATTTTCTGTGCCACCCTTATACATATATTTACCACTTAAAGAAATGTGTTCCATAAAAGTAGCATAAAATAATTGATAAACATTTTATTTTATACTGAAACATTTTGTAATTCTTATTCCCTTTCAAGTAGAAAACTGATGTCTCGAAAATATACTTAGTTAACATTTTAAGAGTTTCTAATATAATAGCTATAGAGCTTTCCTGGATTTTCAATAGCTAATATGTTGTCTAAAATAACAGTCTAAGTTCCTTCTTAAATACATAATCCCCTTTACTTACCCTCAATTCCAGCTGATCGATGCTCTTCTGGCTTTTGAGGACTATATCCCGGGAGCTTTGGCGACGCAATAACTGAGCTGTGTTGGCCATGATTGCGTTTAATTATTATTTCGATTTATTACAGAGTATTATATTTGTGTGTGCGAGGGTGCTGTGTGGGTATGTGTGTGTGTGTGGGCGCCCAAGTGTGCTCTATCACTTCCGTTTCTGTTTCTCAAAATTTTCCTCAGCTTTCACTTTTTTGACGCCACCTAGTGTTGCGTTCAGGTAACTAGCAACTCACTGGACATTTTCGTAGCATACCTTTTTGGGTGGCTAAACAAATCGCATGTTAACCCCTTTCGGTTGTGTTTTAGTTGGTTTATTTTTGGGTTTTGTGTTGTAGTTTTTAATGTGACTTGGTGCTTTTGTTATTTTGTTAGTGCTTAATTGCAGGTGATAACGGTGCATTAGTAGTAGACGCCATCGCTGTGCCGCTAGCTGTTTGTTTTTTAAGTGAAATACGTATTACTAATAATTGTATACAACATGCATGCACAGAGAGAAATTGGTATATTAAAATAAATAAGTTTGGAGGCATTATTTTCAATGGTCTCTGGTTTTAAAAACTAATAAAAAATTACTTTCCAGGTTTTGATATTCTTCATTTAAACATTTTCTTTCAGATTATAAAAATATAATAATAAGTATTTAAAATATATATAAAAGAGCTGAATCTATTTTTGTTCTTTTCTGATAACAAAAATAGTTGAAGCTATGATTGTTCCTTGATGAGTAATAATGTCAAATCAATAGTTTAATATTGATAGTTGGAATTTTTTTTCCACGTGTGCTTGCCATCAATCAAATCATGCAAAAAGAAAGGACCCACACACACTGGGACATCTATGAGGTTTGCGTGACTGGGTCTTAGTCCACACAATAAATCAATCAACGGTGAGTCCTTTTTAACCCCCCATCGCCCCCTCAACATTTTTCCGCCCACTCACTAATGCAGTGTAATGGAATTTACTTTCTTTTTCGACCCACAATTAGTTTAGGCTATGTTTCTCGGGGCAATGGAGGTTATTTTATCAGGTGAAGTGCAGTTTTTATCGTTGTCAAGGAGACCTACATTTTAACTCTATATCAGCATGCGTTTAAGGATTATTTAAGGGGGCAGTTTTACTTTGTTTGCTCTTTTTGGCGAGGAATATACTCCTTAAATGGCTTTAAGATTGCTAACCGTCAAAATCTCACTTATATAACCGAAGAAAACACTCGCGAAAAAATGGAGTCGCACTTAAACAAACAACGGGGGTCCAACTGATAACGGTGAAGGACGACGGGGGCTATTACCCGAATATCCTTTGATTAACAACGGCAGGTGGTTGCATTAAAACCTATTTAGAGACCGATTCCTTGCGCTCCTTTCGCTATCCCGTAATTCTGATTGGAATAACGTAACGGTGTGTCGTAACGGGACGTTGGCAGGAAACTGTTGAGCAGCAAAGGACGTAACACCCGAAAGGCAGGACGAAAAGGAAAATGGATAACAGGCGATAGCGGGAGAAAACGGCGGAGAGAGAGAGCGGAAAACGCGAAAAGAGCAGCGCAGACGCAGCATCACATTGCGTGAGTGCGAGCGCGATGGCGGCACGCGAATTCGAGCGAGAGGGAAGATGGTAAACAGAATAGGGAGGGAAATGGGACAACAAAAAAGCCAATTAACTGGAAAATTAGCTGATTTTGATCATACATTTTAAGCCCACAAAACAGGTATTAAAACTGAACGTTAAATCCAGTTATTAATTTGATAAATTTAATTGAACATTAAAATTGTATTACATTTTTAAATATTTCAATCAGTGCCAACTGTCGCTGGTTAAAGGCGTTAGTACTTTTCCCACAATGCCAATTACATTGTAAAAAAGTGTTGCATAGCGCCGAAATAAGTTTACAAATGAATATAATGTAAACAGTGAATGCCGAACAAGTAAACAAAATAACGGGTAACAACAAAAATATAAAATACTCTACTTTTTTAAGTAGCAATTATTTTAAATGTATTTTGTAAAAGCATTTTTTTAAAAAAGGCATAGGGGTTGAGATGGTGACAAATGCCGTAAAGAAAACTTTTCCATAGTATATTATAAAGTATACCGTTTATATATACGAATATAAATGTATAAAAGTTATTGGAACCATTCCATGCCCTTTCGGTAGTGACTCGTGACTTCTTCCCGGCGAATATCTGCGCATCTCTAGAATGAACTGGCGGTAAAGTGAAGTGAACTAGTCGATCATTGAACACTTGTTGATGGTACCTCTCATAAATTGTTTATCATTTCGATAAGCGCAGTAGGAATTGTGTTTATTTAATGACAAGATGGTGTTCAAGTGCCAGGAGGACAGTTTCCTGAAGCAGGTAAGCTTCTAGAATACAGCAAAATCCCCCTAATTACATAATTGTAACCTAATTTGTGGCAGTTCAAGACGAAAATCGTGAGCAGCGAGTTTGCGACTTTGGATTGGACGAAACCCCATGGAGGAGTCGAGAAACTGAAGGGCTTCAATGTGATCTGCGAGGACACGATATTATTTCCCGAGGGCGGTGGTCAGCCCTGCGATTACGGGACTCTCGGAGGATTTCCGGTGAGAAATGTCCAGAGGAAGGGCACCACGGCCGTTCATTTTGTGGAGTCCCCGACTAGTTTCGAGCAGGATGCAGAGGTTCTCCAGACACTCGATTATGCACGGAGGCTGGATCACATGCAACAGCACTCGGGGCAGCATCTAATAACTGCCCTATTCGATAGGGAGTTCAAGTACGACACGACCTCTTGGTCCCTGGGCTCCAGTGTTTCGCACATCCAGCTGAGTACGCCCCATCTGATTAGTCGCGAATCGCTGGACCTCATCGAACGACAGGCCAACGATCTGATTCGGGAGGGCCGTGAGGTCAGTGTGGTCCTGGTGGATCCCGAGGTGGCGCAGGAGTTCCAGGATGCCAGAGCCCCACGTGGTCTGCCCAAGGATCACGAGGGTCTGGCCAGGGTGGTCCGCATCGAGGGCATCGAGAGCAACATGTGCTGCGGCACCCACGTCTCTAATCTTTCCCAACTGCAGTGCATCAAGCTGCTCTTCGCCGAGAAGGTGAAGACCAATATCTTCGTCCACTTCGTGGTCGGCGAGAGGGTCCTCGGAAAGCTCGGCGAGGTCTTCCAGCGCGAACAGCAGCTCACCCAAGCCCTCAAGTGAGTTCCTTAAGTATTAGCCATGGTTATTCCCTTTTACATCGAAATCACTTAAAAATTTAGAGTGTGTATTTCACATGTCTTAGAAAACTTGTAGAGAAAAAAACTAACCCACAATGTTTGTATTTTTCAGAGGTGGTCCGGGTCAGCACTTGGAGCTCGTCCAGAAGCTACAGCAGAATGTGAAGGGCAGTCGGAAGTACTTCGTGCAGCTGCTGAAGGACTTTGCCACCGCGGAGGCCGAGCGCCTGGAGGATCTGCCCAAGAAGGAGCGTCCCAAGTACTTCGCCCTCCATCGACGCGATGGCATCGAGGTGGACTTCATCAACACATTCTTGAGGGTGGCGCCCGAGGGAATCTTTTACTTCCTCACAGTTTCCGAGGGCGTTTCCGCTGGCAGCAGTGCTAAAGGACATCTGGTGCTGCGCGGAGACCCGGAAATAGTCGAGATACTGGGTCCCCAGATCGTGGAACTGCTAGAGGGCAAGGGAAACGGCAAGGAGGGCAATTTCCAGGGCAAGATCAACAACCTGTCGCGGTTGCAGGACTGCCAGGCTCTGTTGGAGGCACAGTTCAAACCAAAGAAGATCATAGAGGCCCCGCCTGCAAATGAAGTTGAGTTGGCAAAGGAGGAATGAAGAAATATTCGGTAGTGCCCCATCCAATATATAATATTCGTATGGTATTAAGAAACATTGATATTCAAAAATAAACGTTGGCTATTTATAAAGCAATTGGACATGGCGAGCTATATCACCCATAATTACCAAAATCACCCATATTACAAAAAATGACTGCAAATCGTAAAAAAAAATACAGAATATAACGACATGGAAACGTCTTCCTGTACTAAAAACATACATATATTGTATTCCCTTGATCAACAACATGGTATTAAGAATAACGAAAGGTATCAGTATAGGATCACAGGTAGTTGACATCGTAGTTGCGCATCTTCCATTTGAGTCGCCAGTACTGATTCCAGAAGCCAACGTCGATGATCCTCTCGTGGAAGTTGAGGAGGCCCACTTTGGTGTACTCGCAGATGGCCGGATAAGTGCAGTCGTCCTCGTCGTAGAGATCCACCCAAAGGATCGTACAGATCCCCAAGGAAAGGAGTCGCAGTTTCTTTTGGTTGATGGCCCGCTCCAGGGTCAAAAGATAATCGGCGGACTCGGGATTCTGGAGTTCGAAGGGCACTGTGATCATCCGATTCGTGGATCTCCTTAGTAAAGTCATAAAGGCCTCCTCGTCAGGATTATTGAGGCCCGCTTGGTACAAGAACAGCATTCCGGTCCCGTAGAGCAACGCCTTTTTGGGCTTCGTGTAGGATTCCCGGACCACGCCCACCGCCACCTCCGAATAGTCCCGCACCAATCCATTCCAGTACTGCACCCACTTCTCCACGAAGGTGTCCTTGAAGCGCTCCGGCATTTGAAACCTGTCGGCCAGTCTTTGGCGCAGTGCCGATATACGACCCCCCACACGGAGGAACTGCATCTCCCAGCGGGTTTTCAGTGATCAATTTGGAAAAAAACAGGTGGAATCAAAATCCTAGTGTTATCAAATAGACTGTGCGGGAAAACAGCTGTTCGGTTCGGTGTGACCGTAGGCGGGCTGGCGGTAAACTACCAGGGCTGCGGGCGTTGCTAACATATCGATAGGCAAGGTACAATACTATTTACTCGGTTGATTCAGAGATCACGAAAGGATACGCCTACTAGTTGAAATTGTTGTATTCAAACAGATTTTAATTTTTAAAACCTCATTGTATCCAAACTTAAAAAATCATTTTTGTATCTTTTTAATATATATTTATGTATACTGCAGACAAACTTTAGCTTTTGGGGCGGTTCTTAATGAAATGTAACGAGTTCATCGAGTGTAATGATTTTTTTTTTTTTAATTTTACAAAAAAAGCTGTGAATGCAACTCGATTGGAAATTTTGTTACGAGCTCAACAAGGAATGGCATTCCATTATCGGACAATTATTAACATTTTTATCGTAAAAATACTGCAATTTTTGAGCGAAAAATGTTTAAAAGTCCAATTTTTCACATTTCACATTTCGCATGAGGTTTCATCATGATTTTTTTTGGCAAATTTTACAAAAAAAGGTGTGAATGCAGTTCGATTGGAAATTTTGTTACGAGCTCAACAAGGTATGTCATTCCATTATTGAACAATTATTGGCGTTGTAATCGTAAAAATACTGATATTTTTGAGCGAAAAATGGTTAAAATCCCAATTTGCACATTTTTGTGAGGTTTTCATCATGAATTTTCTCGAAAATGTAAAAAAAAAACTGTGAATGCAATTCGATTCGAAATTTTGTAACGAGTTCAGCAAGGTGTGGCATTCCATTATTGGATAATTATTATCATTTTTATCACAAAAATACTGATATTTTTGGGCGAAAAATGGTTAGAAGTCCAATTTTTTTATATTTCACATTTTTCACAGGTATTCATCATGATTTTTTTCAAAAATTTCACAAAAAAAGGTGTGAATGCAATCTGATTGGATATTTTGTTATGAGTTCAATAAAATATGACATTCCATTATCGTAAAAATACTGATATTTTTGAGCGAAAAATGTTTAAATGTACAATTTTTCACATTTTTCATTTTCAGCTAAGGTGGCAACTTTCAGTCGGATTATAATTATATTATAATTATATTCTCTGTGCCCATTTTTTTGTATTTGTTATGTTTTCTTTGTTTATCATAACTCCAGCTTTAATTATTTAATTGATAAAAAGATTACATTTAAAGTAAGCGATAGTTATTGCAAAAACTTCAAGGAGGAAGCCACCGATTTTATCGATAGTGTTATCGCTGATGCTCTCTGCAAAATTATGTATAAAACTTGTTAAAACAAAATAAACCCAGAAGCGAGAAGTTTAAAGAGGTAAGTGTGGGCAAATCGTAACAAATAGGGCGTGGCGAATCGAAATATAACGCTTTATATCCCAATCCCCAGAAAGTGAGACGTGAGCGTAAAATGCAATAATCGTTGCCATGAAAAAGGGCAAGGGATCGGGCTCCCTGGGATCGAAGGGATTATCCCGGGGATTATCTTCTGGAATCACGGTGCCCAAGAGCTCCTCAGGATTAGCAGGGTCATCGGTGGTTCAGAACTCCAAAAAGCAGCAGCCGAAGGAAAAGGATTCTCTGGCAGTCAAGGAATGTGAGTACGACGCACTTCCTTCCTTCCCCTTTCCCCTTTCTCACTCCATCCAAAGCTTTCAAAACGGTACATGTGCTCATTCCCATACAAACACAGCAAAGGGCAAGAATGTGGCACCACCAATAATGATATGGTGCTTTTATTAAAAGATATTCGTAAAGAATATAATATTTATGATTTAAACAAAATTTTATTTATTCTATAAAATCAGCAAACAAAAGAGAGGGTGAGAGAATAGCAACATCAATATTGTTTTAGTTTTAATTTAGTTCTGCAAACTATAGGAATTAGATAAAAAACTTAAAAGTTATGATTTTTTAATTTTTGAGAAGAAAGTAGCATTAATCTTTCTAATCTCTTGTTTCCAGCTACAATAAAGAAAAAGGAGCCCTTGAAGGATGCGCCTTTGAGAGATGAACCTATGAAGGATGAGTCCTTAAGGGAGGAGTCCACTGCCATAACCTCCATTCCGGCTATTGACAAGTTGCGCCGCTTCTGTTTTATTGGCTGCACGGACTCACCCGTCTATGCCACGCCCACGCTGGACCTCACCGTTGAGATCAGCCTCGCATCGCTGCAGGACCTCTGCGCCCAAGTGAATGATGCCGAACTGGCCGAATGCCTGTCGAGTGTCCTGGGCAGCGGACCGAATGCGGAGCACCTGCCGCGTCCAGACGAGCCACTCCTCATCCTCGCCGTCTTTCTCACTACGCGCGAAGACGAAAAGCAGCGCATGTTGGTGCGGAGTAGATTCCCCGATCTGATAACCAGTGAATCGGACCTCCTCCTCTTTGTCCAGCTGGTGAAGCGAGTCCAGAAACTGCTCGACCGCAAGACGCCCTTCAATCGCACGGTGCGTAAGGCCATCCTGGATTGGTACGGCAAGCAATCGCTGGACCGCCTGCTCCACTTGTGGTCGGTGGGCGATGGAACTCGTTGGGCGGCGCACCGCGATCTGCTGCACCGCTGCCACTTTCGAGATTCCGATTTTCCACCCGAAATCATGGCTGCCCTGGGACTGCTCTCATCGCCGCCAAAAGAGCTAGCCCAGTGGCCCAGTTTCCTCACGCCCTTAAGCAAATGCCGCACCATAATCGAGGGGGTGGTCAAGCTGCGACTCCTGCAGGATCCTGAGGAAGCTCTGCCCATTGTAAAAAAGCTATCGCTGAGTTGGGAGCATGTGCCGCTCCAGTTGTTCAACGAACCCGGGCTGGCCAAGTACCTCATTCCACGCATGACCTACGACCAGCTGCTCCGGTGCTGGCCACGCCTCTCGCGACTGCACAACCAGGTGCGCCCCTTCGCCGAGCAGCTGATGGACGAGAAGAAGATCAAGGCGGGCAATGTGGCGCCGGTGCGGCTCCTGCTGGAGGACATGCGTCTGAGGATGCCCAGGAAGATGGTCATAGTGGTGAGCGCGGGTCCCAGGCCCTTACAACCCATTTAACCATGCCTAATACGAAATTTTAATTTTTTAGTGTCCAACTCGGACGCAAAGGGCGAATTTCCTGCACGGAGTATACGAGGCATCCTTTGGCCAGAACAAGCCGCTCGGCAGGCGCCTGCACATCACCCTCAATCTAGAGCAGTTCTACTTGGGCAGTAAGTGGGCTTGTGACTGGTCCTCAATTGCGAGTATAATTCCAACCGATTAATCTTCTAAATTCCCTTCAGAATACCTCTCGGGTCGCTGTCGTTCGCTCAAATATCTGGATGCTCTCGTGGCATTGGCCTTTGGCTATTTCCGCAGCGATCCCAAGGTGACAGTGCAGTTCTGGCACGACCGCAGTGGCCAGCTGAAGACGTTGCCCTGGACGAAGGAGATGTCTGTGGCGGAGGCTACGGCCTGCTGCGAGAACCAGAAGGTAATTAGCTGGCACAATCCAGAGAACGATCCTGTACTTACCCACGACCACTTCAGGTGCTTAAGATCAAGCAGTCGATGACGGATGTTTTGGATAGAGCGCTGGAGGATGAGAAGAACACGTACGATGTGTTTTTAGTGTTGGTGCCGGGGGCAGGGCGGGGAAACCCGGGAAATAGTTCAACAAGTTTAGCTGCCCTAATGGACGACTACCGCAAGAAGCGGAGCTCCAATGCCAAGTGAGTATTTGTGGGTTAAAAGTGCCTAAACATGCTTATGGATTTCATCCATTTACAAGTGTTGAACCCTTTTTTTTAAAATTAAGAACTTTATTTGTTTTTGATTTATAAAACCATTTTTAAGACCATTTCGAAGTGGAATTCGTCTCAGAGCAGTTTAATTTTCTAAAGACAAGTTGTAAGCAGAGGGCATAATGTAATTTTTAAGCTATCCTGATATTAAATATTTACCTTCGCTATGCGGAGCTATGTGACCGCTATATTTACTTAACTCTGCTAAACTAAGCTGTGATAGGAATGTTATTATATCTTAAGTTGAGGAAACCCTTTGTCCAGTTGACTAACCACTCGACTCTCCGCAGGTTCGTTATGGTGAGCTTGCGGCAACACCACGGCTCCATGAAGTACTCCGGCACGCGCAACGAGAACCTGCTGGAATTGTGCAGCCTGGATGAGCACACGCCGCAGCTGATCAACGCGTTTGTCCGCAGAAAGTTCTACTAAAGAAGCAGCTAAACCGGAGACTGGAGAGGAGGAGGAGCTGTCCATCGAATCACCGAAGATTCCCAATTAACCGCACAGCTGCCAGCGCTAAGCAGTTCCATTTGTTGAAGGACGATGGCCCCCGGTTCGTTGCCATCGGCCATCTCTCTCGCTTTCATTGACGCTAGGGCGCTCGGTCCACCCAGTCCCAATCCCGTTCCAAATAGCTTTCATGTATCATATACATAGGTCCCTGGCGTACAATCGTCGTAGATCCAGGCCAACTTAATGCTACATACTTATGTATTAATAATGGTAATAGTTACACCCCGGAATCCACAATTGCAATCGGGTTAGTTAGATATTTTTAACGCTCGTTTTGTGTAATCACCTTTGTATTCGTATTTGTATTTGTACTAGATTTGGTGGATTTATTTTTTCAAATCAAACTGAATCAACTGAACTGAACTCAATCTAAATTCAATTTGGATTAAAAACAATCTCAAAGCAAAAGCAAACGCAAGCGCAAACAACAAACAAACAAAAAAAAGAAAGAAAAACCGAAAAAAACAAACAAATTGCCTTACAAACAAAAATGTTAGTAAAACTTTCATTTTAGTTTAGACTTTTTCAAAAATCGAATACTGGAACTGAAACTGAAACACAAATTATGGCATTTAGATAAAGTTAAAGTTAAATGTAATCTAATCATATGGCCTATGTATTGAATATTAATCAAACGTAACTTTAAAATAGTCCAAGTCAAAGCAATAATCACCAATCACTAAGCAAATCCAGTTATAGCCTCAGATCGATCATAGATTTATGTTGTGCTCGAATAGAATCGAATTAAATTAGCTAAATAGTCGAAACGCGTACAAGGCAAAAAAGATAAAGAAAAAGGAAATAGTAAATTAATATGAAAACTCCCAATGTGCCATACACACAACACAGAAACACACACCCCCATACACTCGATCAGTATATTTATTAGGATTGTGAGAAATTGCCGAACCGAAACCATATAGAGAACAATAACGAAACGACGAGCAAACGCTACCAATTTGACTAAAATTAGTTAAGTGAAATTATACTCAAATTACGATTAAATTACATTTACTTGTAAAGAAAGCATAGCAACCAATTTGGAGATAAGCAAAAGCCAACCGAAAATAGGGAAATCGAAAAACGAAAATTAACTAAACAGAGAAAACGAAACGATACGAATGAAAATAGGAAATATTTCCACGGACATTTCTAACCAAATGTTTCCACACGCGTCTGTGAATTAAACCGTTGTGATCGCTTTAAATTTTGATTTAAACAAAACATAAATACAAAACTGCAAACTACTGAATACTGAATACAAAATACGAACCGCAACAAGAAGCTATAAGTTATTCTATATAGTTTGTGAACTCAAAATATGGAAACCAGTAGGAGCGTAACCGAAAAAGTACCTATACAACAAAAAGCTAAACTAAAACTGAAACTGATACTGCAGAGCCAGCCAATCGAACTCCAAAATCCATCAGAACTACACAAGAAGTATTCACTAAACCGCGATGCCTGGAAAAACGCCAGGATAAGGTTGATCAAAGGAGCAGGAATGGTAGGACGGATCTACGGACTACCGCAGAATGTATACACTTTACAGATTGTTGAGGCAAGACCTGAACAATTGCAAAGATTTGAATTTATTGTTACTAAAGTTAAGGCTCTTTAAAAGGGGATTTACCATAAGGCATCTGGAGAGACCCAAGAAAAAAAATACTTGGTTTTCCAAATTTGAGGTCTCTCCTCATTAATTTGTTTCACATCCATTTTTTAATTTAAGTTTGGAAAATTTATTGTTTAGCTTAAGCACACAAAATTTGTGGTCCGAATTTAGATGTATGTAAGAGAAATCTCGACGTATGAATTTGGCATTCCATTTTGAATATTATTCCTTAATTTTTGTACTATTAGACATAAAACCATTATACTTTATTATCGTTATGTAAGTTATATAAAGGAACATTTCAGTTTGTAAAGTGTATCCCACACAGAAACTCAAACCAAACAGTATAATCAGTAAAGTTACCGAAAAGTTAAACCGTGAAAAAGAAGTTAAACAATAAAATGCCAAGGAAACACATTTCAGTTAGAGGAAATTTAAATAAGGAAAATTATTGTTGTTGATCAAATCAAATCAATTTAAAGGAAACTAAAAACGAAAACTAAAACTGAAATCGACTCGAAACGAAACGAATTGAATTAAATCCGTAGTAAAACAGCAACAAGAAGCAAAACATCATGTGATATCTATTTCAAAAATAAATCAATTGACAAACTAAAGAGAAGAAACCCTAACCATAACAAAAGCAGAATATAGTAAAATTAGCCTAAAGCCACGAAGCGTTCAGAAAGCGAAGTTTCGAAGACAAAGACGAAGATTTTTATCATTTCCCGTTGAAGAGTTACGTAAGATCCTGAACCACAGACCCATTGAGTATTAAAAACACACACATCAGCAAAATACATGGCTCGACTTTGACTCTCTCTCTCTCTCTCTCTATTTCTCGCCCCGCACTCTCACTCTATCTCTTTCTGTCTGTAGTGTTAGTCGAAATTCGGATTGTACGCGCATTCCCAAAATGTTCAACTCCTTGCTAACGTATTCCAGAAGGTTTTTTATAAGCATATACATAAACGTATACATACTTCTTATACACTAATCTAGGCTAACGTTGAATAAATTCTGAATGATTCGAACAGCACTCGCAATTTGCATTTACTGGGTGGTAAACATGTCCTTATAATCGTTTCACTTTTGATCCTAGATTGTAAGGTTCTATTTCAGAGTGTTTTAAAAAAAAGGAAATAAAATTAATACTTTTATTAATGTTGGTAAAATTTAATTTAATTTTTTTCCAAAAATATGTCCCAGAAGATTTTAAATAATACATATGATTGCCCACAAATCAAGACAAAGAATGAATTAATTCTTAATGATCCGAGCAGTACTAACAATTTAAATGTTCATTCTTCTAATTTGTTGAATTTAAGCTATCTGCAGTCTGCTATTTCCATCTTCAGAATATCTGCTTGTATCTTTGATCCTCTGTTTTCTTTTTGAAATTTTGTTTAATAAAGTCTCTGGAACATTTGGTTTGATGCTGCTAATTTTGTATATTGAATCTTATTGGGACATAATATTATTTTGCTTCTAATTAATGGTCTTGTTTTCTCTTTTATTCCAAAATATTTTTTGGGCCTGAGTATTGGAATGTGTTTCGCCTTCTTTCCTACGCTTTTGATTTTTGATCCTTTTCTATTCCCTATTTGTTCTCGGTGATTATTCCCGCAGGACCGCAGACGTATAGCTGCTGTTGGTCCCGATCCCTGAGCGGCTTGAAGCCCAGCTCGTCGGTGGGCACGCCGTACTGCTTCAGCTTGCACTCGTAGGTCTCCAGGAGGTCGTCGTGGGCCTTCCTGGCCTTGGCCACCTCGTAGCGCAGGTCCAGGATGATCTTGTTCTTCTCGTCGACGATGTTGCCCACCCGCTCGTCCAGGCTGGTTAGCTTTTCGGCGAAATTGGGGGCACAGGTGGCGATGGTCTCGTGCAGGACAATGCTGCGCTTTTCGTCCTCGCGCATCAGGGCGGCGATCTTGCGCTCCAGAAGGACGTTCTTCAGGCCGGTCTTCTGCTGGAGCTCCACGATGACGTCGTTGAACCGCTCCTTGAGTCCCTCCCGCTCCGCCACCAAGGAGTCGTTGCGCAGGATGAGCGTCTCCGCTTCCCAGGTGAGTCCTTTGACCTTCTTCTCCAGCCGAGTGTTGCGCACCTTGAGGCGACTTAGCTGCTGCTTGTCCCGCTCGTAGAACTCCAGCTTGCGGCGGTACTCGTTCAACTGGATGTTGGCATGCTCTAGGGGCTCCTTCAGTCGGCGATTCTCCGCCGCCGTGTCCGCAGCGATCCTGTCCGATCTCTCCGCCTGTTTGCGCAGGTGCTCCAGCTGTTCCTTCATGCTGCCAATTAGGGCCAGATTGTTCAGCGTAATGTCGTTGTAGTAGTTCTTCATGTCGTTGAAGGCCAGGTCGTGGTGGTCCTGCAGGTCCTTGATCTGCTGGTTCTTGCGCTCCTCCACCTCGAACATCTGGGTGCCGTAGAACAGGTCCAGCTTGGCCTTCTGCTCGATCATCTTCTCCTCGTGCAGCATCTCGTTGTCCTTGCGCTCGCGCTCGAACGTGATGCGTTGCTCCCTGCCAGGATCGAAAAACAATTAATTTTGTTATATTAACTGGGTTGTAAAAATGTGACAGATTTGGACACATATTACAGTCTTGTATAACGTAAAACATTCATTTATATAGAAGATGTTCTACCCAAAATAAAATGAATTTCAAAACTACGAAGCCCTGCCAGAACAAAAAATGGCTAAAACGATTGATTATGAGAGTTATGTTAAATATTAAAATCCCTTAATTGAATGAAATATATATTATTACTTCAAGAAATGTATTATTCAATTACTATTCTGAATTTTGAAAAATATGTATTCCTTTCAAGAGTCTTCGACATTATAACATAGATTAGAAACTGCAAATTTGGCTGGCCAGTTGGGCTTAACAAATCGATCTGGGACTATGGTTTTTCAGGGGGTACCCACAGCAGCTTCTCGTTGAAGTGGGCCTCCATTTGGCGCAGCTGCATCTCGCTCATCTCCATCCTTTCGCGGAGCATCCTGCGCAGCTGACGCTTGTCCCTCTGCAGTTCGTTCTCCTGCAGGACATGGTGCTCCTGGGCCAGCTTCAGCTGGGTCATCGCCTCAGCCCGGACCTCGCCCAGTTTATTGTGGTTCTCGAACTGCAGGTGCTTCATCTGCTGCATCACGTGCTTCGTGTCGATGTCCGCGAGGTCCTGCGTGGCCTCAATCTCCTTGTCCTTCTGCTGCAACTCATAGCGCGTCTCATCTGCACAGATACAAATAAAACAAGAATTGTTTTGATATTTAACAGAATCATTAATAATAACAAATCCAAAACTCACCCAACTGCTGGCGCGTTATCTCCCAAAAAGTGCGGATCTTGTCCCGCTCCAACTGGAAATAGTTCCGCTCCTCCCGCTCCCGATCCATTTCCGCCTTCAGCCGGAGGGCAAAGGCCTCCAGCTGGTCGCGGGTCATCGCCGAGGTGTCCACGCCATCGATGAGCACTAAGCATGGGGTATGTAATCAGCAATATGTATTATATACAATAGTAAAAAAAAAATACAAGTCTTAACAATCGGAAACTTGAAAATAACTGTCACGAAAATGGGTCCAAAAATTAATTAACGTTAAAATGAAAACTTTGAATGCAGATTTTTAGAGAATTAAATCAGAAGTCTTTAGAGGTATGTCACTTTGAAATCGGATCAAATTTGGTAAAGTTATGGACTGTGGAACTCCGATTGAGAGTCACCTTATTAAAACTCATCGGAAACTTAGAAATAAGTAACATGAAAATGGGTCCAAAATTTGATCAACGTTATAATGAAAATTTTGAATGCAGATTTTTAGAGAATTAAATCAGAAGTCTTTAGAGGTATGTCACTTTGAAATCGGATCAAATTTGGTAAAGTTATGGACTGTGGAACTCCGATTGAGAGTCACCTTATTAAAACTCATCGGAAACTTAGAAATAAGTAACATGAAAATGGGTCAAAAATTTGATCAACGTTAAAATGAAAATTTTGAATGCAGATTTTTAGAGAATTAAATCAGAAGTCTTTAGAGGTATGTCACTTTGAAATCCGACTAAATTTGGTAAAGTTATCGATTCTAGAAGTAGAATTTTGGGTGAAGCGGAATAAATCGTGATCAGCTTATAATGTTTTTTGTGAGTTTTTATATTATTATAATTTTGAGAACCGAAGGCAGATTTTGTTCTTAAAGCTAGCTTTTAAGCGAGTTAGTGAGAACTTTGGCCGCATATTTGGGGTTCCCGGCTTTATGGCAATTTAATGAGAGCGGCACGCTTGGCTACCCCTCATCCAAGAGCCCCTTTTTCCCCTTCTTCTTCTTTTCCCAATTTTTACCCCGGCCACGCCCCCTTTTCTTAGCCACTGCCCGCATATGTGGCCCAGCAGCAGACCGTGTTGTAATTGTTTTCTGTAATTGGCATCGTTGGCCGGCTGGTGCCAGGACTCGAACTAGGAAGGACTACCAGGACTACTAGGACTCTAACATGAACCACACCAGAGAAAATACCATTGCAGATTTGTAAAATGAAGGTACAAAACCCAAAGACTGTTCAGAAGATTGCAAATTGGCTTAAGGTTATCGGAAACTTAAATGGCTAATTATTTTAAGATCCCAAAAATAGTAATTTTTGTTAAATTGTTGTCAAATTTAGCAGCTTAAAGAATCCTTAAAAAAATGGTCTTTAAAGACCAACTGATTTTTCTCAGTGAATGCATAGAAACAATTATGTGCGTTAGATGTCCTTTGGAGCGAGGGGAGGGGCGGGGTCAGGGGTCAGGGGCAAATGCAGTGGGCTCACTCGTGGAAATTAAGTGGACAGTTTGGCCCCCATTTTTTCCTCTTAATTTTTGGGCTGCAAGACTCCGCCAAAGCAATTGCATCGGGAATTTCTTGTCCGCAGTGCTCCTCCGTTTCCCCCTTGTCCCCGCTCCTCTCCTCACGCAGATTATCGTTATTTACTAATTGTTTTGCTTGGCCTTTTTAAATTGCCCTGAATGACCAATGTCCGCCATTCCAGCTGCCCAGATATCCTGGAACCCAGTGGCACCCTGCTGCCATTAATGTTCCGAAAATGAATTGCCAGGCAGTCCTCGTCCTTGTTCCGTTTGCTCCTCGTGGAAAGGCTTTAACAGCCGGCGTCCTTAAAGAGGACACATTACGAATTCTGGAATAACTAGCTTATTTCGATATTCAAGTGCTATGCGAAAAGGGTTCACCGTTATTTTTATATGGCATTTTTAAAACCGGATGTATATAACGAGAATGTGTTTTCAAAAACCGAAGAGAAAATAATAATTTATAAAAATATGTTATTAAAATAATTATAAATATAGACATCTTACAACTTCTTTAAAATATGAAAACAAATATAATTAAAATAAAATGTATTATTTATAATTAAATTAAATATATTTAAATTGAGCTTTACTTACCTGGCAATTTTTTGCCCTTCTTGCCCTTTTTCCCCTTCGGCGGCTGTAAGAAAAATGTATATTAAAGAACAAATTTAGCCTGTAAGATATTCAAATATTGCAATGGAATATAATAATTATAAAGTCTTCTTATAATCATTTCAAAACAGCAAATATTTCCTATAAAATATGATAACAAACAATATTTTAAAAGACAACCTGTAAGTCCTTAAAATAAACTAAAATAAATCTCTAGAAATTAAACAACAACCGGCTTCTTTGAGCTGAGCTCAAATCTCAAGTTAAAGTCGCCGCTGAACTTGCCCCAAAGAATTTCCACATTTGTCTATGCAAATTGTATGCGCTTTCCCCGCAGGAAAATGAAAATGGGGGATTGCGCAATTGTCGTCTGCAGCTCGCAACTATTTTTCGCACTTTAAATCCTTTAACAACGCTTAATTCGATTCCTTCCACGTGGGAGAAAGGCGGGGAGCTGCCATCGTCGCTTTAAATAATGTGATGGCGCGGCTTTCAAAACAATTTCGCAACAGCTGTTGGCTGTTGGCTGCTGGCTTATTGCATATTTTATGACTGCAAATTATTCAAAAATTTTCGAAGCCGCCTGCGCCCGGCGACCGCGCTTTCGCCATGTCCAAAGGCGCAAAATATATATAAATAAATATATGTATCGGACGGAAAAAAGGCGGATATATGTTGGGGGGCAGGTCTATACATAAACAAATGATCGAAAATAGACAACTACCGAAAGAAGGAGAATCGAGGGGGCTCAAAGGACTTGGCTGCAATAAATGTAAAGCAGAGCCACGGTAACAGAAAATCGCCAAGTGTTTGGCACTTACAATAAGTTGTAACCTGTCAAATTTCAAAAGGTGCATATTAATTTTTGCTTGAATAAATGCTAATCTGTTTCTTTTTAATTGTTTCTTAAAATCAGAAGGAAAGATTTTATTAACTTATAGAAATAACTATTATTCTTTACTATTATTAAGCGTATAATACAAAATTGTTACCAACTGTATACATTTTTTTCAAGTGCCAGGGTTAATTCTGTATTAAGCGCTCGTTGTCAAGTCTGTTGACCAGCCAGGCTTCACTGTACCCCATTCGCGAAGTGCAGTTTGTATATGCAAAAACAGCAACAGCCTGGCTTGGCATGAAAAATTGAATGCGCCGCTTGCAGTGCAACTGAAACTGAAAAACTGAGACCGAAAGGAGCAGCGGAACGGGACCGGAAATCGGAAATCGGAAATCGGAAGGAGGCGGAAGCTGCTGGCCAAGCAGTGCGGGCTTACGAGGATGCACTGCTTCGTTGATGCCACGCTGATTTAACAACTTATTACTCACCATGCTGCTGCCGGTTCTTCCTTACGATTCTTCTGCTCTAAAAAGGACCTTTACACTCCGGATTTCTCCTGCCAACTGAACCGCCGATGTCCTGCCGTCCAACAACAAAACAAACGATATCGATAAAGCAGTTACAATGTGCGGGTGTTGGTGTCTGTGTACGTGTACATGTATGAGTGTGGGTTACCGGGCAACCAAAAGCAAAGGTTGAAGGTTAAAACTCTGTTTTTCGGCGCTCTCTTCTCTCGATTATTTTTCGGGGGCGAAGGGAATGTGCTGGAACAATCGGAATATAGTGAGAATTTTTACAGTTATCACCTGGGTTTCTGGGAGGAAAAATGTTGAATGGGTCAAACCTTTTAATAGTTGGGGAAAGTACTAAACCGTATAAAGAAGAATATGTTTTACCTATTTGAAAAGCCTTTATCAATACTAACCCTCTAAAATACTTAATTATTAGCGAAATGCCAAGCCTAACCAATACATATATAACTTATGTGAAAAGTAATAGGCGCATTACTTTTCAAGAAACATATAATTTTCTTCTGATTCAATTTATAATACAGATGCTCATAAACTAAAAAAATCCTAAGTAAAATGCTAGAAACTCAGAATAAATGACACCTACTTTTGGCAGTATCCGCTTACTTTATACAGTGCCCGGCATTAGTTTGCTGCCCAAGCCAGTGAAAACCGAAAAGCCAGACCAGACCAGACTCTTTCTCTTATCGCCGTCTGCTGTCTGCTTCCTATAAATGGTCTCTTGAATTTTCCTCCTGCATTTCCCCTCCCAGAATTTTCCCCCTGCATTTCCCCTCCCAGAATTTCCACCCTGCATTTCCCCCATCCAGAATTTGCCCTGCATCTGTTTGTTTATTTGCCCGTTTGTTTGGCGGACTTTAAATGCTGATGGCACTGCAGTCTCTGCTCTTGACTGGCTAATTTGATGATTTCGTGAAATACGATATTATCAGGAAGCCGGCAGATCCTCGGCTCCTTTGCTGCTGCTTGATGGCCCAGAAAATCTCGCTCGAATCAACTTTATTAGTGCCTTGAATAACAGACAGCCACCTATGGCCTGCGAAATTCCCCAGAAACTCCGGCACTTTCTCGCCTTAATTAATGTTCGGTGGGCGGGCCGGTTGGGTAAACAAAGGCATATTGCTGACTTTCGGCGGCTCTCCGGTTAAATGCTTTAATTGAAATTAATAACCGCAGCCAGTTTGGCCAGTTGGGCAGTTGAAACGAGAACCCCGTGGCTTTCGCATGGCACAACATTTTGGGACCGCCACACAGACACCGAGAATTTTCAATTGTTTTCATTAAAAGTCAATTTCTGATAGCGAAGATGCTGTGGCTGCTACACAGTAAAAAAATAAATGTATTCGCTTATTAAAAGTATTTGAAATTAACTAACAAAATAATACAGTATAAATTTGTTAAGCAATACTAACTCCATTAACTCTTTACCTATTTTCAAAAACTAGAAAATGCGAAAGATTATATTAATGTTTAATACTTTAACTAAGACGCTATTGAATTCAGCATGTTACCAACTTGTTTTATTATTGGAATGTGTAAGCAATTTAAGAAATAGGTGTTCCTTCCAAAAGTACATACGAATATTTTTCCAGCTGCAACAAACACTTACATTTTTTTCTGTGCACCTTCAACCCTTTTTCGCCACTTCTCCTTCTGCCCTGCATAATTTTTGTTTCATTTTATTCTGGCCAACGGCTGCGGTCGGTCATGGCCCATTGAGTTCCGTAACGGCTGTCAAGGGTTAAGGCGGCGGGGGTAGGGGGTTGGGGCTGAGCAAAGCACTGATTGAAAGTGAAAGTATTTAAAATATGATTAGAAAATTTGCTTATCGAGGTCGAGGTGTGCTTTGCTTTAAAATGGAAAACTTAAAGAGCAAAATTCGACTAAATAAATAAAATTATATAAAGCTTGGTTTAGTACCTACCAACTGTAAGGTTTAATAATTTAAAAAAAGCTTTCTCAGCTGCACAAACAGTGAGTCATTTAGCTACGCTTTATTTTGGACAAATTATAACATTTAAACTATTAAAAATTCTGAAAACACCAACCTGAGTTTTTTTTGATTGTATGTGTTCTCAGCTGCACAAAATAGTCATTCTTTAGGCTGTGCGTCTTATTTTGACAAAGTTACAACAAAAAGCCCATAAAAGTGTGTTTTTTTGATAGCCAAGATCTGGAAAAAATCAGTCCGATTTTTATGTTTTTTGATCAAAACCGTTGGAAAGAATGATCAGATCTTGGAATGTCATACCTCGTTGAATTCGTTACAAAATTTCCAAGCCATTGGTATTCTCAGCTAAAAAATTTTATTTTTGACCATTTTTCGCAAAAATTCAAGGGGTACCCCTTATGAAAAATGCGAAATTTGGCCATAAAATATTTTTTTTCGAAAATCGAACAGGAATTGATAGATCATGCTGTCAGCTGCACATAAAAGTAAGTCGTTTAGCTGTGCCTTATATTTTGAACAACTTAGAACAAAAAATCCATAAAAAGTCACAATATGTAATTAAAAATAGAAATGTTGAGATGTCTTATCTCTGAACTTTTAATAGAAATGGATCAGATCGAACAATTTATATGGGATCTCATATTCAAATTGACCATTCATATGTTGACCATTTATTATTGCGATAAATGTCAGCGCAGTTGATGCAGCTGCAGACAAACCTATGGTAAAGTATATATGTACTGGGGAGTGTGGAAATTCGGAGGATTTTCCGAAGGGGTTGAGGAGTGGGTGGGACAGTGCTCATTGCGGTGGCAAAAGTTATTTGCTGTGTTATTTTCACAACAACTTCCGCTCGGCGCAGAAACGGATATCCTGCCTCTGAGTGAGAGATCCAGATATGTACGAGTATATATAGAATGGATATAGATGTGGGTGGGGGCGGGGGGTCGTGAAAAGTTGTTGGTGCAGCTGGTCCGACGCCTTGTCTTGTCTGTTGTTAGCTGAAAACCCCTCGACCGTCCCTCGCCATATGCAAAATTCTGCTTTTACAACTCCTCGGCTCAAACTTTGACTTGCGACCCAAACCCTGGCAATTTAAACTTTCTGATTAATTTTAATAAATATATTTTTGTCCTTTATTTGTAGAATTTGTTCGTTTACCATATAATATATATAATTTGTCTTGTATATATATGCTTGTTTATTTATTATATATTAGTTATACTGTACTTTATGCGTTTACTGCTTGGTTTATATAGAGCGGCTCTCCATTTTTCAGGGGGTTATCAAGAGAACTTTGATTAAGCTTCAGTTTGTTTTTTGGGTGAACGTCTGTGTGATCGATCCTTAAATCCATCCTAAATACATATTACAGTTTATCCTCGTTGGCTATATACATTTTATTTTTAGCTTTAACTTTTGTTTATGAGCTGTCTTATATACAATTCTTAGGCTTAAAGTAATCGTAATTTAAAAGCAACGCAATGAGAACTTAATTTATTACACATTTAAATGGATTGTTAGCCACAACAAAACTATATACAGAATGTGAAAAGTCGAAGGATACCAGGATTCTATAACATTTCCTCTAGTTTCTCTTATTTATTTTCGTTCAGCATTTAGGTCTGCTAATAATGGCACATAATATTATTGTGTATTTCGATTTTTTGATATAAGTACAGTACCATATAGAGAGATATATCCCGCTTAGCATATGAACAACCTTTAATGGCTCTGATTCTTTTAGAGTCCATCTGTATAACTATGATTTCCATTTCTATATATGTCGTTTTTTTTTACAAATTTCCATTACGAATTTATCTTTTGCTTATTTTGCTTTATACACGAACCAAACAAACTGGTTATATGCAGTTGTGTTCAAAAAAATAGGAATATAAGAAAGTCTTGAAAAAATCTAAAAGTAGTTATTTAAAAGAACGTTGCTTTATTTTTGATTATAGTAACATTTACTACCATTTATTTTAAATATTGAAAGGTTCTTTGCAAAGCTAAAATTGTTAAAGCATTAAAAATGAAGATGCTTTAACTAAATATTTAATGCTTAATAAATATATTAATATAAGATGTTTTTTAAGTTCTTGAAAAGCTGAAACAATTTCGAAATCATTTAGTATTATTCTGTGGCCTTTAAGGCATCGCTATTATTTTGAACACAACTGTATCGCCATATATATATATAAATATATATAAATATGCGTAGGGGGTTGCTTAGATGTTGTGGCTAGATTTGGTTTTATTGTTGCAGCGGCAGCACAAAGCAGCTCTTAATTAAAACGCAACAAATGCACAAAGGATCCTGCAGCAGGACAACTGTTGCACAATGGGGCTGAGCAGGACTCGAATAAAATTTCAATTAAATCAATTCGAGCATGTGGCCAGAGGGGTCCAGTGTCAAGTGTCTTGAGTACCAAGTTCCGAGTACTGACTGCTGACTACTGACTACTGAGTACGAGTCCTTCGTCCTGCGTCCTTCGAGTGCTGCCCACACACACGAGCAACATGCAACTTGCAACCAGCAACCAGCAACCTGAAGCAGCTTTAATTGAATTTCTGCTGCTGGAGTGGCTTGTTATCTCGTATTTGTTTAATTTTATTTCTCGCTCGGCCGCCCGGCAATCTGCATCAACTGATGAAATGATACGACTGCAAGCCAAAAATTCGGATCAAGCTGGGCTATTTGCCATGGCCAAATAAAAAAACAGAGAAAAAAAAAACAGTCAAATCAAACAAATGTTTAGAAGGTGTATAAAGTAGAAGGGGAAGTGGTAGAAAGAAAATATATTACATTTTGTGAAGCATTTAATAAATATTTTTGCATTCCGAGACTTTTTATAAATTTAAATACAAGTTTATATAAATAACTTGTTTATTATTCAGTTTTTGCCCAATTCTTAGGCAATTAAAAAATATGTTCTTAATTTTAACTTGTTTCAATCATTTTAATCGAACCTTTTTAGCAGTGTTTCACTTATTGAGCCAGCTGTTGCTGGTCAGCCGCTTGTCAGCCATTGAGACATTACAAAGCGAAGCCATTTACCAGGATACCAGGATCCACTCACACACATGTGTACCTACTGCGCACCAACACACTCACACTGCCACACTTTCAGTGCCATACGCTTATAGGAATATTCAAGCCGACACTCATTTCATTATTAAATCAAAAAAGTTGAGTAAATTTTAGCCAGCGGCTGACAGACCCCGTACTTATTTTGCTCATATTTTCCCTATATTTTCCTCTCATTTTCCCCTACGTATTATCCCTCTGCCACGCCCGCTCGCTTTTCCCCGCCCCCTTTATGTGTGTGTAACAATTCAACTTGATTGCCATTTGTTTTAGCGAGCTGCTGCCCCGTCTTTTCCCCGGAAAATGCGGAAAATGTTTTGCGGCCAACACACGCACACAAGTACATTTTCCGCCAACCCCCTGCCACGCCCCCTGCCCGCCCAACGTCAAGTAAGCGGTGTATTCAATTAAACTTCCGTCAAACATGAAGCAAACTCCCAAACTCCCCCTGCATTTTCCTCTTGCCTTGGGGTTATAAAATAAACATGTTGCCACACACAAAATTTAAATAGATACAAGTTCGCCACACTGCATAACACAATAAACCGCAGTAAAACAAAGGCGGTTGGAAAAAAATACGCCAAAAGAATGGCCACGAAAATTATGACGAGCATAAAGGAGAGCAAGGATATAATTCAGGCTGAGGATGGCCAAGAAACGTCCTGTTGGGAAAGTATATCTGAAGACTTTCGGAAGCGAATCTCAGGTAACCAGAAAAACAAATAAGTAATAAAAATGTTTAAGTCATTACTAAGATAGGAAAAGAAAACACCAAAGAGATGAAATTAAAAATAGTCACTAAGCTAAAAGTTCGGTTTAATCTCAGATAGATAGCCAGGAAACTTGAATCTAATCAAAATACAAAAATAAATTGCTAAGTATATAAATTTGAAATTCCATAAAAAAAATATAAACTTTTAAAAGATTAAAAAGTCTTTTGAAATCAATGAAAGTTCAATATCGTTTTAGTGATCTTAATTTTTGTGGCTAAGATACAACATTATTGATAATATAAATATTTACTATTTTTTCCAACGAAAAGCACTTAAAGACTAGGAGGAATGTCTGTACCGTTTTCCCATGTTCCTTACTTTTAAAAACCGTTTTCCCCACGCATTCTCTTTTTCCCTGGCCTAAAAACAAAAGCAACTTAAAGACAGCAGTCACAGCGAGGAATGATAAAAAGGGAAATGCGAAATTAAAATACAATTTGACGGCATCAAATAGAGCAATTAAGCGCTCCACCCCGCCACACCCACTCAACGCCTCACTTTTTCCCCGCCCACAAAAGTAGGCAACACTTGGATAGAAAGGGACAGCAGGACCCACACGCACACACACACACACAGTGGTGCTCGGGAAAACTTGATTACAAGTGTCGCGGAAAGCCCCAAAAAACAACTCAAACTGCGGCTCCGTAACAATCATAAGCAGCAAAATGCACATGTACACTGACAAAAAGGCTTTAAGTCACCAAAAATGCACAATTGTACTCAAAAAATATAGAGCAATAATTTAAAATTTATAAAATATATATAATTGACAGGCTATTTAAAAAGATAATCATTAAGAAAACATAAATTTGAATGAATGCTGAAAATATCTTGTACTATGTTAATTATTTTAATAGAAAGAATATTTAAAGCGGCAGCGTTTCAGAATAAATATAAATTGGGTAACAATTAAAAAATATTTTTCCCTCTGTAATTGTCCTTTTGTGCATGTTTGTCTGGCATTATTGCTGCTGTGTATTTATATTTGTTGTGCCATTTACGCAATCCAACAAAGGACAACAAAGGATGCGCGATTTTAAAGGCAGCAATTGTGGCAGCAGCAGCAACAAGGATAACAACAAAAGAAGTTGCTGCAGCAGCAACAATACGAGTGATATGAGCAGCAGCAACATCCCCGCGGCAACATCAGCTTTAGAATTAGCTCAAGTGGCAAGAACTGCAATAATAATAGAAATACCCCACTAAAATGAAGTAGTTGGCAATTTGGAAATACTAAAATAGGATTTCAGAGTTTAATTTAAGCTCAGTTCATTTGAAATACAAAACCAGCTATTTGAACTGTTATTTAGGGCCAAACAAATTAACACATTTGACCATTTTGGTTATTAAATGAAGGCCCTTTTGAAGCAGCAATCTTTTAAATATTAAAAGAAAATGTAAATGTTTGGCAGAGCTTTTCCTGTAGTAACATGAGGTGACTGGCAAACAAGCAACATCAACATTAACACGAGCAGCAACAACACCATCAACGGACAATGGCGGCAGCAACTGCAGCAGCAGTAGCAGCAACACCAACTTGCACAGCAGCAACTTGCAACATCAGGAAAAGTGTTGCTGCCGGTTGACTAGTTCTCGATGTTGTACGTTGCTGCTTGGCTTCCTTTTCTTGGGGTCTGTGTAATTTGAAACACTTGTGTCAACGTGGCTAAAACACCCCCACATTTCGGTCCCTCCCTTAACCCACTAAAGCCCCTGCTGCTGACATGTTTCTTTGGGTTGCTGCTGTTGCTGATGTTGCTGCTGTGTTCATGTTGCTGTTGCTGCGGTTGTCAGCGTCTTATTATCATCATCAGTGGCAGCTTTTGGCGGTTTTGTATATTTGTAGCTGTCTTCGTTATTTTTTTTTATTTTAGTTTTAAGTTCTGGCAGAGAATTGTTTTGGGCTTTTCGGGGGTTTGGGGTCGGGTGGCTGCTTCTTACAATGAAATTCACTTTGCCAAAAAGTTTTCATTTCATTAAAAACGAGGCTGTGTGGGTGTGATATGTGTGTGTGGTTAACTGACATGCAAGTAATTCATCAAAAGCAAATGCAACGCAGATGGGAGCCGAGAGTTTTCTGTGTCCACAACTTGTGCCCCACAGCTGCCTACACACACACACACTTAAAAAAAAACACACACACACTCACACACATGTACATACATTTAAAAACACACACATACTCAGCTGCGAAGACAAGACGTTGCAACAAAAACAAAAATAAAAATAATAAATAAAAACACTCCGCTGCAAAGACTTGAAAAATAAAACAGAAAGAAACTGAAAGTTTTGGCAAACACCAAGAAATAGTTGGTACAACAGGGGTTAAGCGCAGGGCCAGAGGGGTTAAGAGCAGCATATGAAAGGGTTAAGAGGGAGGACGGGGTAAGGGGTTAAAAGGCATCACAGCTTGTGTGCAAATAATTTGCATAAAAATGAGAAATTTAATTATTTTTAAAGGCACAGCATACAGCAACACAATTAACAAATCTGTTGAAAAAATAAATTGTAAAAGGGGTGTCCTTTTCAAAACCTATTTATCATAACCCCATCCTCCTTTCCTGAACCTTACAAATGTCAATCAAAGTTGAACAAATGAACAGAAGTTATCCAAAAGTAGCCCAAATTAACGAATAACAAGGAAAAAGTAAAAGAAATCATTTCTTTTCTACAAATCAAAAAGTTTTCCTTTATTTTTGTGTGTTACTTTTTCATATTAATTGACCTTTCGAAAGTTGTATAAATCGGTTTGGGAAATTGGAAATTGGTAAAAAAAAGGTGTGTCAGCCGCCAAAATTTAAATGAGAAAATCAACAAAAAGTTGGCCGCAAAAAGGGTTGATTAATAACGAATCAAGTGGAAGTTGTAGACTTGATAACTAGACATCAATACATATCAAATGTTTTCCTTCATTTCGTAAAACTCCCTTTCATATTTATGCTATGAAAAAAAACGAGCTGTTGTCCCAATTGGGCTTTAATATTTTGCTCAGTGTTCGATACACTTTAAATGCTTTTGGATACCGCTTAACCTTAAGCTAGCTGTGATTACTTAACTATGCAACCCCCTTGGAAATGTTTCAGTAACACTAGAAATTCATGCGCTTAATACATTCACTAAATATGGATGCCTCCAAACACCATCCCTGTTTTTTTTTTTTGCTTTTCATTTATGTTATAAACAATTTAACATTTGCTACTACAACATGTGTTTTTAAATGGTTGGGTCACTTTATGGTTGAGAGTACTTCTTTCAGAGACTGTTGATGAAAGTGTGATTGAATGTTTAGTCCCTTGGACTTTTACATACTTAAACATTTGTGTTTTATGATTGAGAGTTTGTGTTTTGGAGACTGTTGGTGAATGTGTTGTTGAGTTTTTGTAAAGTCCCTTGGACTTTGAATTAAAAACCTAGTAATGTGTGTTTTTTTCCTCGACAATTTTAAATTATTTAGATTGATTTTTACCAATAAAAAAAATGTCTTGTTGACTCTGTCGCAGAGAGCGTTGATGAACAATGTTGCCTAGTGATTGGTGAATGCATACAGCCCCTTGGACTTTACTTTACTCACCACCATATTGGTTTTTTTTTTCTGGTGTGTAATGGTGTAAGTGTTGTTGATATCCTTAAAGTGAGTATTTAACACTACAACGTGTTGTTGATGAGTGTCCTGTTGTAGAGTCCTTCTGACCAGCTACTCCTTCGTTGCGACCATGTATTGTTGAGTCTGTTGTTGAATGCGCTGGGTAGAGTCCATTAGACTGTGTATTATAAGAGGCTGAGGCTGAGCAGGAGGCCAGACACCGTCGACAAGCCCATTAAGAGCGGCTGTCGACAGTGCCAACTCCTGGGCAGGATGAGAGGGAGGACGGGGAGGAGGAGCAGGGGCAGGGGCAGGGGCGAGTGGTGACCCCGACGCAGTCCGGAGCCGGAGCTCATTTCGTTGTTGTCGATGGGGCCGCGCACTTCCGTATTGCCGCCGTAATAGGGCGGGGGCTTACGTGTGATGCCGCCCATTTCGCCACCTGGTGACCCCGACCCACCGCCAGGTGACCCCGGCCCACCGCCACCGTGCTGCTGGTGGTGGTGGTTGTGATGGTGGTGCTGCTGATGTTGATGCTGATGCTGATTGCCGCCGGAGTTGCCCGGCTTATGTGTGGCCGGTTTATTGCCGCTGGTGTAGTAAACGTGCGGCGATAACGGTGTCAATCCGCCGTTCTCCCCGCCCTCCGCCTCGAAATCCTCGGCGGATCCGTACTGCAACTCCTCATCCTCCGGCTGGTAGGTGACTTTGACTTGTTGTTTCTGCTTCAAAATGTCATTGGCATCCGCATCCATGCTTCCGCCGGCAGATCCGCCCCCTCCACCTCCCCCTTTTCCACCGCCGTTCAGCGGATTTTTATTACGATTCGGTCCGGGGATTTCTGAAAGGCAGCAAGGAAAAAAAAAACAGAGAAAAACGGCGGAAAAACAAAGGAGCGAATGAGAAAATGTAATTGAAACAAAGGTGCAAATACGTCCCATTTCGCGGATTCGCGGCACTACAGCGGCGGTCGGGTGAATAGCAGAGTCAGCGGGAAACATTTCTTATATTTGTCAAAATATATTAATATACTGTGTACAATATATCCTTGAAATTTTTTTTATAATTTAAAATTAGCCAATACACAATGGTATTTCTTTAATTATAAGCAAATATGTTAAACAAACATTTATAATGCCATGAAAACAGAAAGTGATTTAACTTTTAAATATTTAGCCTTTTAAAAACCTGTAATTAAGATTTATTTTAAATGAATTCATAAGGTGTAAATATATATAATTTATGGGTTTTTATCACTGACGGCATAAGAATTCTTTGTAGGTTAGTTTTGATACATATGTCCATAACATGTTTTATCATCCACTGACACACCATTTTCTTGACCCCAACTGTAGGCCTGCAAATATTACCCATTGATCCGTTGAGGGGCTGAAAAACTCACCGTATAAACGGATACTGCTGTCGACTTCGCCCAAAGAGTTTTTGGCTATGCAGCGATAGGATCCGACATCGTCCTTCTGGAACTTCCTGACTATCATCGACATTTTGGTCTCGTACATGGACTGCGAACTCTCTTGGACATGATACTTTCCCGATGTCACAATCATCTCACCTAATAGATGGTTAAGATATACGCAAATAGAGGTCAGCATCTACTAATTGTAAAGCTATTTTATATTTGTTTTTAATTCTTCAATGAAATTCACAGCCTTCCTAGTTCAAAATTCGAAAAATTCAAATTGTAAATAAAAAGCAGGCTGTGACTCCAAGGCAGACAAACGTCAACCTTTCACACAAGGCAGAGAGCTCATTTCATTATATTTTCTCCTGTAGTTCACATCACAACCAGTTTCATTCGAAAAATCTATATAAAAAAAAAGTAAAAAAATTTCCCCTAGGAAATTCTACCGTGAAACTAACTCGCTTTAACTTGATTATTTCTTCTGCTATTGGGTAAGTGCAAAATTATTAAAGACATCGATTTCTACCTTACACATAGTTAAACAATACTTGCATTTTGGTTGTGTAATAAGTAAACAAATGCGCTCCACAATTTAAAGTGACTGATAAATATTTGTTTTCTTAAAACCGAACTACCCAATATGTCAGTGTATTCTACGACTAAGAGGCCCAAAAAACACATACTAGGGCTTTGAAAATTTAGTGTTTTCCGGGGCAGAGGGGCTTCCCCGGATCCCCGACTTGCAACACCGAACTGCACCACCTGCAACGAGCGAACGTGCCGCAATCTGACAACTGACTAATGACAATGCCAGCGATTCGTTTCGAATCGATGTTGAAGTAATGATGCGTTCGGTCCGAAGCCCGACATCTGCATAGATATATGTACCCACATATCTGCCCATATATATAGATATATATATATATATCGGCAGACGGGTCTCGACACTCCACACTCCACACTCCACACTCGCACACACTTACCCGTGTCCTTAATCCAGTAGTTAATTGATTTGGGCGAGGCCTCGACGTGACACTCGATTTGGACATCAGTGCCAAGTGGTGCGCCGACTAATTGATTCGGCACTTGGATGACCGGATGAACTGCAACGAGACGGAGAAGGGGGAGGGAAGGGGCTTGAGAGGTGTCCAAATAAAACAAATGTTGCAGCCGATCGGCCATTGGCTCAGGTTGGCATCGAAGCCCAGAGGTTCTTAGGCCGCTTGGGTCAACTAATCAGGGCCATTTTCAATCTAGAATAATCCTGACATTTCAATTCTGTCGGGGTTTTTGCCAAAATATCATTTTCTACCCAAAATACTTTTCTATCGGAAATTATTAATTGAAAATTATATTTTTAAATAAGAAAATAAGAGCTAATTAGTTTGGTAAATAGGTATTGCAATATTGAAATGATATAAATAACAAAAATAAGGAATTTGTTTTTAGAATTTAATTTTAAATAATTTTTAACAAATAAGAAAGGACCTTTGGGAAAAGGTTGTTGATAAAGTAAGATATCATCACTTGAGGGCAAAGTATTATTCTATATTTCTTTATCCGTATATATCAAATTTACATTTTATGGTATGTTATACCATACTATATACTAATATATACTAATATTCCAATTTGCAAAATTGTTTTCGGCAGTATTGATCACTTATTTCAAGATGTCGGACTACTCGAAATTCCTGGCCAACTTGACGGATCAGCTGGGCCTCCTGCCGGGACTTTCAACCAGCGGATTTTCAGGACTCGGAGGACTGGGGAACCTGGGCAACCTAAGCAACTTGGGCAACAATCTGGGCAACCTGCGCCCCGCCCACAAGGCGCTGATGTGCGTGGGCGCGGCCACCGTGGCCTGCGTTGTCCTGGGCCTAACGGTTAAGTCCTTGAAGGGGCGTGGTCGCAAGGACGACAAGCGGGGGATCATCAAGGTGCGGAACGGGGCGCCGATCAAGCTTGACCTTGAGGGGGCTGACATGGACGACGGGAATGTGGTGCCCAAGTCGCATTAAAAACCTGGAGGATTTAGTGGATCCCCAATATTCTGCACACGCCCTACAAAATCACCCCTCCACCACATAAAATACGATGTTTTGTGCGTTGCAACGTTATCTATATATTTTGTAATTTTATACCGTTCACCAAAGCGGTCATTTAAATAACATCTGTTCAAAATGAAATGAACGCTCTTTTAAATTCTAAATCTAAATAGAGCCTTTAAGTTGGATATATTTAATACAATATTTGCTATAAAATATATTTCTTTCTAGAACATCTGTTCAAAAATTACCATTTATCATTACCAAATGTATTAAATGTAATATATTATACACATTACCATGAAATTATTTGTAAGATTATTTTGTTCTTCCTCACACTGTAAATTTTGAAATATTAATTATAATCTGTGAAACCAAAAACTGTGTACGAATTCAATTCCATATTTACTTCAATATCATGGCGATTTACAAATCAAAAATTCGGGTTAAGGGACTCAGCAAATGTGGATTTCTACCCAGTGCTTATTTTAACAAGAGTGTATTTGTCCTTTTTTCTGTTCCAAATTACGCGACACTGGTAGGAAATAAATCTATATGGCAGGCAGACAATGGAGCACAGAACAAAACATTTTTAGAATTATATAAATGGTTTTAATAAAAGTTTACTTAGTTACGATTGGATTGTTCCATCTCGGGATGTGGAAATCTAAACGATCTTAAATAATTAAATCAAAAAATATTGCAATATATTAAGATAACTTTACTTTAAAGAAATTGCACATATATATATTTGTTGTAATACTACTTCAACTTGTTAAAAGTATATGAAAAGATTTATGACTGCAAATTCAATTCACCTGCTATTTTTTTCTGTATACTATATCTGTGAACCTTTTAATTTTGCAGCCATTAGGCATTCAAAAAGGACTCCCTTTGAGAGCAGAACAAAAGTTGGCTGGCGCACTTGAAGGCCAATTGACTGTGGCATAATTTGATGGTGTGCGCTCCTGGCTTTCCCGCCTTCCCCCGAAGGACCCCCGCTTTTCCCCACTCATTTTCCTGGGCTCATCAGAATGCAGTTCATGCAGAGAGCGTCGGACGCTGCATTGACAACTCTTTTGCCGATGGCCCAACTTTCGTATTTATTGTCACTTAGGCCGGGTGCTCGGGGGGTTGGCATTTTGGGGGGGGAGGTCCTGACCAAAATTTGTGGTTTTGTAGAACCAGCCGGAGGACCAAAAGCCGAAAACCGAATACCCTGCCCCCGCAGCTCACAGCACACAGCTCACAGCTTACAGATTGCACATTGTCTCCGTCTATTTTCCCCCGCCCTTGAGACATTTGTGGCCATGTGCATTGATAGTTGATTGCAGGTCCTGCAGCGAGCAACTCCGTGTTTTGTCCTGGCACAGGACTTTCCCAGCCGGAGGATTTTAATTGATTTCCATGGCCGACTGCGCTCTGTCTCAGCCATCAACTACCAACTATCAACTATCTCTAATGCCGCTTGTGGTTAGTACTCTTAAACTTCATTTATGCATATGAAATAACGAGGCGACTTTGCTTTTTTGCCAGGCACACTTCAAAAGTTATCAATAAATTATTATCTGCATGCTTTAATTGTTAAAATAAATATATTTTAAATTAATTAAAAGTTGTGCAATATAATTAGTGACATTTACTAATTTTTGTGCGAGCTTTTTTGTATGATTAATGTTTAAAAGTCTTCAAATTGTATATAACTAAAAAATGTAACTTAAAAACGTACTTTGATATACGTTAAACATTGATTTCGAATGTCTTAATGAAGTTCAATCAAATATCTAAGTGCAGGAGGCAAAGATGCCACTGTCCATTGGAGTTCGAGGTGGTTTTCGGACCGGCTGACGTGCTGGTCAACTGCCCCTGGTTTAATCCATATGTGGATCGCGGAACCGGGGGAATGGTTCCCTAGAAACTGCCACATTTCGGGTCTATCCTCAGTGCATTTATGCCGGATAAAGGACCTGCAGTCCCCCGGCACTTTCGCTGGGCTATTTGCAATTTTGCAATGATTATTCTGAGCATGTTCCTGCCTGGCCAACGGCCACCTTTCAACCTTTCACCTTTCACCTTTGGGCCATTCAGCCATTTGGCCAGGTGCTTTTGCTCTGTAGCTCGCTCCGTTTTGCGGCAAACAAAGCCACAAATATGCACTAATGACGTCGTCAGCTGCTGCCACTCCTGCCACGCCCCCTGCTGCCCAGCCGCCCCGCCGCCCAGCCGCCCTTCCCCGCATATCCAGTTTTCACCCAAAAATTTCCCAGCAATCTGCAGCAGCAGACTCGCATTTCGGGCAATTGTTTTTGGAGAGCTTGAGTTGGTCGAAGGTGACAAAAAGTCTGAACTCATGCGTGCTGTAAGCTGCTAGTCGGCGTACAGTGCGTTTCATGGGCATAGTTTTGGGCCTGAGCTGCCAGAGTGACGAGGCTCAATAGAGGAATAGAGTTCCAAGGCTTTAAGACCTCTTAATGAGGGCACAGAGTTGATGAAAAATGATGAAAAAAATAATAGTATTTAAATAACCTTTTCATTATACCCTTGCAGAGGGTATTATAATTTCAGTCAAAAGTTTGCAACGCAGTGAAGGAGACATTTCCGACCCTATAAAGTATATATATTCTTGATCAGCATCACCAGGAGAGTCGATCTAGCCATGTCCGTCTGTCCGTCTGTCCGTCTGTCCGTCCGTCTGTCCGTCCGTCTGTCCGTCCGTCCGTTTCTACGTAAACTAGTCCCTCAGTTTTAAAGCTATCTGCTTGAAACTTTCCCAAAAGTTGTCTTTCTATTGCAGGTAGTATATAAGTCGGAACGAGCCGGATCGGGCCACTATATCGTATAGCTGTCATATAACTGAACGATCGGAAATGCCATAACTTTGGTGTTTTTGAAGTTCGGAAGTTGTAATTTTCTATGGGTTTTATTTTTGGCTAATCAGTCTGACCTACCAAATTTCATAAGGATCGGACGACTATATCCTATAGCCGCCATATAACTGATTGATCGGAAATGCCATAACTTTGGTGTTTGTAAAGTTAGAAAGTTGGGATTATCTATGGGTTTAATTTTTCGCCAATCAATCCGACCTACCAAATTTCATAAGGATCGGCCGACTATATCTTGTAGCTGCCATATAACTGAACGATTGGAAATGCCATAACTTTGGTGTTTTTAAAGTTGGGAAGTTGGGATTTTTTATGAGTATTAAGAATGCATCATATAAATAATTTTGGAGAATATAATTTACAGAATATTCTGCAAGGGTATATCAACTTCGGCTCCGCCCGAAGTTTGCTTTCCTTTCTTGTTATCTTTAAAATAAGTTAACTAATTTTAATTAATTTTTAATCATGGCTATAAATTAACTTCATTTATTTAGTTTTTCAAAGTTTTTCCCTCCTTGAAATTGTTTTTCTTTTCTTAATGATTTAATATCGCTTTCGAGCTTAAAAGTGTTTTTTGTTACCCTGAAACACAGTGTTTAAAGGGTTAGTTGTTTTTTAACCCCACAATAACGGATCTCTAAGAGAAGTGGTCAAAATCCTTCGGTTTCATTTCCTTTCCGGAATTTTTTCGGTGGCTTTCGCACGTACGTGATTTTTCTCATTTTGCTGCATTTATTTTCTGTGTGTTCGATTTACGACCCATGGCGGAGGCGGAGAAGGAAAAAGGAGGCGTGGCAGGTAGTGAAGCATACGTGCCTCGTGACCAAGAGTGAAAATGCAGATGAAGACGGCATTTCCGGACTGGTTAAAGATGCAGTGTTTCGCCTGGCGACCGACATGCTGCTCGCGGGATGTTGCATGTTGCATGTTGGTGGCGGGATGTGGAGCGCCACCAGTTCCTGTTGCACATCCCATAGGTGCAGCTAATTAGGGGAAGCGCCTAATGGGGCGGCGAACGGAAAGCACAGTGCAACGGAAGCGCCAAATGTGGAGTGTGGCAGGCTAGTGCACTGCTAGAAAAAACTAAGCCATTTTGAATGCAGATTAATGGAGAGTTCAACCTCTGCCTTTAAGAAGAATCTACCTCGCCATTCCGATTTCGTTTTGTCAAATTATCCAGAAGTTGATGTCTGAGTCACCATTTTTTAGAAATTGAAAAGGCATTACATAAAAAAATTTAAAATTTGAATACAAGCTAACAAAACTTCAACAATAACTCACAATTCAAAAATGTTTTTTGCTAGTTTCTTTGCTTTAAAAATCTGTAATTTTCCTTTTGATACCCCTAGTTGTTTTCAGTGCTCCTTTATCAGCCACTTGCAGCAGCGGCGAGCCATTTGCAACTGAACCATCTCGTGCAACTGACTCCGCCAAAAGTTTCCGGGAAAAGAGCACCCAGCAACTCTTTGGCAAACAAATTGCAAGGAAGTTGTTGCAAAATGGCAACAGGAAAAGTAAACACGCACCGGAAACGGGGAAAAGTGGGAAAAGTGGGGCTGGGGAAAATCAAGGGTAAGCTGCGGGGGCCACTCGAGTTGATCAAAAAGTTTTCCCAGGTTTCCACCTCGGCTGCTCCTCGAAGATAACTGCTAACCAGCAACTGTTTACTGCTGACAAGCGGTCCGAAAAGTTGAACTCAAATGGTAGCACACACGGTGATACCCCGTAAAAACAATGGTAAATAAAAAATGTCTATTGATATTGCAAATCAATACAGAAATGATTAACCTTTATATATATTACCGAATGGAATGGTGTGAATTATTATAACTAAACATTAACTACAACATTTAGATTGGCCTAGTTATGGCCTCCACGAGTGTGTAAATTAATTTTAAAAAAATGTTAAAATAAAATATCGCAATTCAATAATAACACTTAAAGGCTGGCTGTATTTTTAGATACATTTTCAATTACTCTTATTTTTCATAGTTCCCCTCAGGGTTAAAGTTTCCCCTCACACTTGGACGTAGTGCCACTTAAAGACCGCATTAACACAATGTCAAAATGTTAAAAGGCGTGATTTTGCCACCTAACTCGTAGGGTGGACCCGAAAAAGGGGTGGTGCACTGGCAAACGAGCCAAAAAACAAATGGGATGATGCAAGATGGAGAGAGAGGGAGGGGGGCAGGACAAACAAACGCAGTGCCACCCAAAAAACCCCCATTGCCACACCCCTTTTTGGTTGCCTTGATGATTGAGTGAACTGCCACATGGCAGCAGAGTCAAAAGTGCAGAGACGGAGGGCGAAAAAAAACAACAAGGAAATGGGGGCCAAGGGGGGCTTAAAACTGGGAGAAGGGGGCTGCGAAAAATGGTAGGAGAAGCAGCACGTGCTGCAGACAGTTTGACAAAAAAGCTGTGACCCACCAAAAAGCACCTCCCCAACCCGAAAAATAAAAAAAAAACTTCCTCTAGATAACCCCTCAGAAAAAAAAAAAAACAACAAGCAAAGTCGGAGCAGGTAATGCCCGGTATCAGTGACAGGATTTAAACGGATTACAACAAGGACAATCGAGTTAGCACGGCACATAGAGCATAGGACCCGAGTTTACCTTCTGTCTTCTGTCTTCTGCCGTTTGCCTTTTAGCACACCACCCCGCACCTTTTCCTATTTTCCTTGCACTGCGGGGCATTTTCTCGGGTGGAGAGCACTTCCTGTCCACCGAGGAAAACAATTTCAAATGATAAAGGCTTTTTACTTCCCTAGATTATATCTTTACATTTTGGTTAACCATACTTCTATTTAATATCATTATCAATTATTTTTTAAATTGTCTATGAATTAAATAACACTTATTTGCTTTTCACTTATTATTATTTTACTGGAGCTAATGTTCATTTGTTGTCGAAAGGTTTTAAATTTCAAGCGCAAATCATTGAAAAGATTTAAATTTTAAATTATTTGTCATTTGATTTAATAAATTTACTTGATAAATCAGAATAAAACATTTTATTTATTATTAAATTGATGTGGAACAAAAATGTAAAGTAAATTTAGCTCTATTTAATATCTATCTCAAAAGCAAATATATTTTATAAATAAATCATATTTTTTGTAATGAGCAAAAGGGAGATATAAAAGGTAGTTCTCACCGCAATTTCTCGCAGTGTGTGAACTTAATGTAAGATAAACGCCACAGCTGCTGTGGCCAAAACCAAGCTGGTTGACTGATGTTCATGATGGCGATGGCGAAGATGAGGTGATGGGATGCGGATGAGGATGCGGATGAGGATGGGGATGCGGATGTGGATGCAACAGCGACACGGAAAAGAGTTGACCAACCGCAGGCTCCTCTAATTAATGGCGCAGTGCCAGAACGGGGGGGCAAATACTCACAGTGTATGCTGAGGGAGATGCGCTTTGAAACCGATGGGGGCACTCCATTGGAGGCGATGCACAGATAGGAGCCCATCTCGTTCCTCGAGATCTTTGACAGCTTCAACACTTCGCCGCGAAACGAGGGCGCTGCAAAAGGAAGGCGGAAGGGCGGGGAAAACAAATAGAGTTTCCACCGGAAAAGCGCCGAAGTGCCGGTCGACAACTCACCCAGGGTCTTGGTGCCCACATTGTCCTTCAGGACAATCTCGTTGCCGTCTTCGCGCCGCCAGGTGACAATCGGTTCCGGATATCCACGGGCTCTGTAAATGAAATGCAGCAAAGGTACAGTAAGGGCTCGATAAATGCTTTGGTTCTTCAAACATAGGCGACAACTACATATTAGCTGACTTATACAGAAATATTAATTTTAAAATGGTCATCTGTGTAGATGACAAAAGTATTAGTTGGCAAAGACTAATCAATATAAATCAGTAAGCTATTTTAACTGTTTTAGAAAATGTCTAAATATATGCTTTTGTTTTGTTGAGATAATACAATTAACACGTTTTTTTGAATTTTTACTAATACTTAAAAGAGATCCAGAGATCGGAAAGCATTTAAGAACCTATAAACTATAAGCCAAATGGCCACGCCCCCTCAATAATGACGGGAAATGGAAAATGGCCAATGCCAAATGGAAGTGCCGAGATGCCAAATGGGAAATATTCAAGTTCAGTGGCTTATTAAATTTAATATGACGATGCTTCAGCCGAGGGCTCCATTGTGCCCGAGTTGGGGCAAAAACTTTTATGCAATGCAAAGGCAGAGCGGAAAAGTGGAAAAGCGGAAAAGCAGGCAGGCAAAACGCTTGAAGCCAGCAGGCGCTTAAGTGTGTGGTGCAGTTGGAAAATTTGCGGAAAAAGCATTTGATCGACGACACAACACTAATTCATTTTAAAGATTATATGTTTGGAAATTTAATAGTTAAATTTATAGAAAATTTGATTATAAGTAATTTTTAAGCAGTTAGAAAAATTTAAAATAGTCGGCTTCAAACCAAAAATAAAAATAATCTTTGAATAGTTGATTTATCAAGAAAGCTTCTGAAAAATTTAACATTGTTGTAATGTTAATATATTTCTCACCTCAAATTTTATAATTTATAAACATAAAACTGTGAATTTAGGGATTGATAACTTAAGAGCTTAATATTTATATTGAAAGGGTGTTAAGTTTATAAATCGTGAGAGAAAAAAAGAGCAACAGATGGCCTTGGCTGGGCGATCGTCAATATACCCATTGATCTTTTCGAACAGAGGGTATTCGAGGAGAAATGCGTGTTAAGACAGCAGTTGTTCAACAGCGAACCAGACACGGGTGTGGTAAATTTTTATGATGCCGCAAACAGATGCAAAATGGCTAAAAGAAAACCAGCTAGCACACAGATACTGCCGTACAGCTACACCCACACGAATACAACCACCCACATGGCCAACACAATGGCAAGTGGGTGGAAAACAGTTAGCAGTCAGCGGCAGTTTCTTAGCCATGTTTAGACGGGCCAAGACAGTCCCTCTTTCGCCCAACCAAATGCAATTTACATGGCCCAAAGACGGCCAGACAAAGCAAACTTCAGTTGGCCAACAACTAATTCAACAACTCATAGAGAAGCCCTCGCTGAGTGACCTTCTTTGGTTCGTTTTGTCTTTAACTTTACAGCAAGAAATTTCAATGTCTGAATTTCGTTTTAAGAATAGGGAAAATCTATTAGGTTTATTTTAAGTTTACATTTCTTTGGCAAACATAAAATGTATGTTAAAGATGACTTGCTTAAGAAAGATTTTAAATATTTTACTGATAGTCTGGAATCAAAAAATAATCAATGGTCAAATAAAAATGATCAACACAGAGACTTCATTACATAACATTTTTTTCAGTGGAGTAGAAGTATTTATATTTTATATATGTAATACAACTCCCAAAAGCAAGGGTTACATTTTGTTAAAGTTTATTAGATGATGCTTTTAATGTGCATTACGCTAAAGTTGAATTCATTTTAAGGGATTTGCACTAAGTGGCATTAAAAGTGAACAGAAAACAAAGAGCAAATTCGCAGACAAGCCCTCTAATAGCTTTCCCCACTCGCACATTCACACATGAAAAAGCGGGAAAAGCGCGCTTATCGCCATCGTTTCATCATTTTGCGGTTAAGTCGCTAAAAAAAGAGAGCAACACTTCGTGGTTGCGGTCAAGTTCATAAAACAGCCACCAAAACCACCCTCTAAAACCCCAAACACAAATTAGAGACTCCTTTTGGTAATACCCTAATGCCATAATACCCCTTGAAATGACTTTGGAAAATGGCCATGAGGGCTGGCTATCTTCAAAATACATATACAAATCCAAGTAAAATCCCTGCTGGGACTTAACTTCTTCAAAAAACTAACATACCCAGCGGATTGAACACCAGGGTAGTCAAGGAGTTTCGGTGCTAAATCAAGAGAAATGAAGTGTCACTTAATTTGTTGACATTATTACACCGAAAGAGAATGAAAGTTGAGAGAAAGAAAGATGGAGAACGGCAAAAAGAAAACTGCCATTTAACACTCGAAGTCGAAATTAAAATTGGTATTTCTTAAGTTTTAGCAAATAAATCCTACTTTAATGTGGGGCATTTTATTTGTTCACATATTTTCTTCAGCTGTTTTACATCGTGGATTTTGAGCATCAATAAGTTTTAAAGCAGAATATGTAATATTTTACTTTAAATTGATAAAAAATCCATATAAGTTTAATAGTTTTCTTGACTTCGTAAAGTTTTTGTAAAAGCACAAGGTTAAAATGCTTATTCAGCACGTAGACATGGGTGTTACATTTATTTAATAAATAAACAAAAAACCTTTTAAATTCTTCTTCAGTTTGATAAAACGTTTATTGTTTTCGGGATTATAAAAACCGAAGCTAAAACCATACACGGTACATACTCACCGACATGTCAATCGCACGGAACTGCCCTCCGGCACAATCACATCGGAGGAGGTGTCCTCGCTGATGAAATCCGGTGGAATCACGACATCCAGGAAGCCGATCTGCAAGTACCAAAAAATAAGAGAGAAAGACACAAAAACATTAGCACGCAGCGGATTTCATTTCACTTACTTAAATTATCACAAATTGCTAAGGGGACAAATGCACACTAATGTGCACTTGGAGAAAAACTAAGCCCTTCTTAATATTTTGGTAAGTGTTGCTTTGAAAAAACAAATGTTTATAACTTAATTGTATATTAAGTTTATTTATTATTTTATTTATAGTTAACTTATTAAAGGTAGATGGCTTTAGAAGTATATTTCAATTTAAATAGAAGGTGGCATCTTTAATTACTTAGCCTAAAAAAAATTAAATAATATTATATCTGTAAGCATAAACAAAGAGGAGTCTCCCGATAATCCTTAAGATTTTTTCCCTGTGTACACTTGGCGAAAATTCGCTGATTATGCAAGTGGCCCGTAAAGGCGGAGTAACGGCAAAGTGTTTTATATGGCGACTGGTGAATAAAGCGAAGTGATGTCGAATAAACTAAGAATAAACTAAGCCAAGGTGAATAGTTTGGGACAAAAAGGGGGGGTGGGCGACCAAAGGGGGCGGCAGTACGGTGCACTCTGACCCTGCTGTTGTTGTTTTTGTGAAAAGCGTAAAAGTGCAAATAAAAATTAAGGAAGCATGAAATACATTTTATTGGCACCATAAACTTCACTTCGCTGGACACACGAGTGTACGTGTGAGCGGACACACCCGCACACACACACGGCCGAAAAACACCCGCACAGCCATACGGAATTTATGTATGTGTGCGTACATGATGCTGCCAATTTATATGCCCCAACATTTTCCTTTTTCCCCCCTGCCTTTCGCATAGTTTTCGCTTTCGATTTGCTGCGCTTTCTTTTCCCCAACAAGCAGCAGAACAAGTGGGTGGAAAATGTGGGAAATCGAGGGGGGGGATATGTGGGAATGGCGGAAAACAAACAATAACAACGGCAAGTACAACAGCTCAATGCATTCGCATTTTCCTTCACCGTTTAATGCCGCATGAAAAGAATGGATCGGAAAATAGGAAAAACATTTTCACAACAACGTGCAAAAAGCAATGGGGTCGCACAAATATTATGAATATAAAATATGAATCGAAAAGCTGGTTATAAAACTAATCCAAATTAGAAAAAAAACTATTTTGAAGATTTTTTTTGAGAAAAATATGAAGAAAAGATTAAATACTTTTCCACTGATTTAATTTGGCGTTGCTAAATTGGACACAAAATTAACACTTTTAAAAGCGAACGACACTTGGAGTAGTCATTATAATTCTTTAATGTTACTTATCTTATTTTATATATAGACACACAATGCGTATGCGTTATTTGGTAGAACCCACGTTTAGTATACGCAGTAAGCCTAAATAATAAGTAATAACCTATAACCTCTCCTGACTCTTCATAGGATCCCTTTTTAGTTGGCCCAACAATTTTAATTCTTTAATTTTACATATATTCATTTTATATTATATACCGACATGCAGTGCGTATGCGTTATTTACTTCCAAGCTCGAACTCACATTAAGTATACGCAGTGATCCTAAATAATATGTAATAGCCTATAACCTCACCTAACTCTTCATAGGATCCCTTTTTAGTTGGCCCATGTAGTTATTTTAATTCTTTAATTTTACTTATCTCATTTTATATACCGACAAGCAGTGCGTATGCGTTATTTACTTCCAAACTCGATCTCACATTAAGTATACGCAAAGATCCTAAATAATAACTAATAACTTATATCCTCACCTGACTTTTCATAGGATCCGTGTTCAGTTGGCACATGTAACCCCCGCGATCCTCCTCGGAAACAGCCTTTATATGGAGGTTCCACGTGTTTTGGTCCAAGTGACTGACGGTGACTCGCGGATTGTGCGTGATCACGTTCTCGTGAATGGCCTGGATCGCCTTCGTGTCCGCTTTGAGCCAGCCCACCTTAAAGAAAGGGATGTAAAATAAAATTACTTAAAGGTTCTAAATATTAAATAAATAACATTATTCCGCTTAGTATTAGTAAGTATTACAGTACAAATTAATGAGGGGTTTGTAATGCATTTAATATAGAATTCAAAAAGATTTCCCGTTCTTTTTTCACTAATTTAATTTTTGTGAAAATGTACAAAATATATTTGACTTTCTTTAACCTTTATGTGTAAAGAGGTAATGTGGAATCATTTGAAGAATTTAATTAATATAAGTGAAATACAAAAAATTTAAGCACTTATTAACTTTAATAAGTTAAATAGTTTTTTTGCAGTGTAGTGCCGTTTACTGTTGACTTACCCGATAGCCGCCCAAATGTCGGACGTGACACGTGAAGGTTGCATCGCGTCCGACAGCCACGGACACGTTGGAAATGGTCTCCACGAACTCCGGCTGAAAGGCGCCAATTGCTGCAAGGACGAAAAAAAGGAGCGAGATTAGAGTGCATCGGTGTGTGTATGTTTGTGTGTGTGTGGCAGTTAATGATATCGCGCCAGTTCACTGGCAATGCATTCAAGGCCCCCCACACCAAAATAACCCCCCTGAAATCCCTCATCCACCTCCCATGTTGCGCCTGCCAAAAAGTCCGTGATTTATCGCTTTTAAATGTGCCCCAAAACCACCCAAAGCCACCCATCCTCACCCACCACCCACTGCATTCCGGCCTTGCCAACAACTTAACTGTGCCAGACGACCGGCGGCAGACAATTTAAAGAGCCGCGGCGGCTAATTGAAGATCGACATCCGGTCCTTCGACTACGGCACTCCGACTCTGCGGAAAACGAATCCCGGAGTCCGGGCAAGAGTATAACTACGACTACGGCTGCGGATTCGGATACGGATACGGCTAGTGGCACGGGGCACACGCAAATATAAATAATTTATTGAATCATCGAAAATCAAACATTTCACTTGCAAGTGCTGCAAAAAAGTTTGCCAGGCCGTAAACGCAAAAAGGAAAAAATCCGTAAGTGGTAGTGAAATAGTCAACCGGAAAAATACTCTACTTTTTCTGGAAATCAATCGGTTGCCATCAATATTAATAATATCTGTAATCTTCAGGTTTGTTATATAGTAATTTATTGTACTTTATATAGTAATTTATGTAAATACAAACAATTAGAATTCAAATGTTAAGAGAATTCTGTAAAATATAATTTTTAACTTTCTCTAAATAAAAGTATACATGAACTGGCGTAAAAATATTTCTGTGTTCTCTTGATTATCCTTAAATTTGGAGTAATTTAAATTTTTTAAAAGAACTACATAAATTTCTAGGATAATTAAGAGAAAGAAAAATGTGATAGACTTCCTGCGGAATCCAAGTGACCCCTTCGAGGGGTATGCAAAAAATAATGGAACCGAAGGAGGTTAAGCGGGAATAATGGGCGGAGTGGATCGAGGGTCTCACCAGACAGCAGCAGCCACGCACGACTGCTGTCCTGGCCGCAAAATCCCCCGAATAGCCCCGTTCCCCCCCTTTCCACCGACGTCTACATCATCGTAATGCATGCAAAAAACTTTTGGCAAACTTGAAATTTAAATATTTATAGACAGTACCGTTGGCTCACGAACGGATTTCGGGGGAATCGGGGGCGAATATTGTGTGTAGAAATATATATGCGTATATAAGTTGCACGACGAGATGTGCTGTGCTGAGGAATGTGCTGAATTGACTCAATTGGCCAAAGGCATGATTTATCGCACTTTCGGTGACTGTGTGCCAGTGCCTGCCAAATGCAAAACGGAGTCCCAGGAACTTCTACTTCTACTTCTACAGTTGATAATCTGGATAATCCACTTGCCGGCCACAAGCTAAAAATATATTCCGGCAAGTTTATTTGGGCAAGCGAAGAAATTCATTGGTGAATTAATTGCTGCAATGCATTTAATTCATGATCGAATTGATTGAATTCATTATTGATTTATTGGCGAATTCAATGTTGATTTTACCGTAAAGAACAAAGGCTGAATTAACAAACTAAATTTATGGCCACGTTTAAAGTGTGCGGCCAATGGATGCCTTTCATTGAAGATTTTATTGCTGAATTTATGGACTTTTGGAAATCACAATAAACAATACAATTTAGAAATCTACTATTGACCAGAGGAATATTATAAATGTTATTATATTAAATACAATATCAATAAAGCAAAGTGGTAAGGAGTTTAGCCTACAGAATTTATTCGTTTAATTATTAATTTTAGGGCAATGTAAAGTTTTTGAAGACAGAAATTTTAGTTGTAAATAAATCGGAAACTGTAGCTGTATACATTCTAATTTAATTGTTATACTTAGAAAATTATAGATTCACTGTTGAAATAACTGAAATTTAGCTGTAATGTTTAAATAATTTTGAAAATGATTTAGTGTGGTGTTAAATAAATAAATTCATTGGACTTAGTTCTGAGTGCAGCAGATGGAATAGTAAAGTCTGAGATTTGGCATCAAGTGGGCGGGCGGGTAGGTGACGCCCCAAAGCCACAGTGTTGTGGGTGCGCACTGTACAGTGGAGCCTGGCCTGCGGCAACCCCCCGTCCCCCCGTCCCCCTGGCAAATGGCAAATGCTGTTGCTGCTTGGCTGACTGCGGCTTGTTTGTCAATCTGCCGTAGAGTCTGCATGCAGGCGAAGATGTTCTCCAGCATTGTGCCAATCCCAATGAACTTGTCACTGGTCCTCAAGCCCCCATACCCCCCCTCCCCCTCTCCCCCACCTCAATCCACCCGGTTGTTTGTGAACTTTGGCCTGACTTCTGGTCGTGGGTCAGCCTCCTTGGAGCCTTTCTGCCTGGCATTTTCCGAAGCCAAGCCAGAGTCAATTAACCCCCGACTTTGGTCCACTCAAAATCCAGGTCCCCCGCCTCATAAATCTCCGCCTTCATTTCAATTTTCGGCTCCACCATTTGGAGTCTTGTCAATTTTTGGCTCACATCCCGAGGCTCCCTTTCGCATTTTCGCATTTACTCGGGAAAAAGTTTAAATCACACAACGACAATGAGGATTTGCCGAAGCAAATTTATGGCTAAGGACATTGGCAAAAAGTTAAGCAAAGGAAACGTATTAGTTTTGGCTGGGCTTTTGGGGTGTCTTATATATGTGGGTGGCAAGGTAAGCACACACACACACACACACGACTCGGTTACGGGCGATACAAAGATGCCAATCTGCATGGGAATGACAGTGGGGACTGGCGACCGAAAACTCTGATTTCTGCACACCGAGAAAAGTTTAATTCAAAACGAGGAACTTAATTTATATAGCTTTTTATTAAACGTTTATTCACGCATTCCAATTCAAATCCGTTCAGACTACTAACTTTGATAAGTAATACTCTTTGAAATCAGATTATGAGCTATAAAAGTACAGTTTTGGATCGCCGACAAGACATAAGAACAAATAATTAGGCAACACAAATAATCCTTATTAGAGGGCCAGAGATATAACATTTTGAAATCGGTTTTAATAGGTCAAGAAGTGCGCGAATTGGAGGTCCGAAAATTATATATCTTGGAGGTCTGAAAATTATATATCTAGTGTATATATTTCAAGCAAAGCTATGCGTGTGTTTTGAATACATGGCCAGTCTAAGCACTTCGAAAGCATTGCATTATCTTTGAATTTAGCTCAGTGTACGGTGTCACCTTTTCCTTGGCCGTCCGTTTTTTATGGCCTCACACTTGGACAGGTCCACAAATCCAGTTGCAAAGCACCAATGATAGGTGATAATGGCAAATTTGAAAGGCAAACAGTGTGGGATTCTGAGACCCAAAAGACACCAAACTTAAATGCAGCAAACAGGAGCTGAAACTGAAACCAGATTCTGCCTTAAAGTCAAGTTTTAGCTAAGACAAACAAATGACTTTGGAGGCGAAAGAAAAAAGGAGAAAAAATAAGGAGATGCCTGCAAATGACTGTCGGCTGGCATTGAAATTAGCATTTTTACAAATCGTCGTCGGCTGAACTACTGCCAATTTCCCACTCACTTTTCCCCCTGCAAAAATTCAATTTAAATTTCTCGCCTTTTTCCCTTTTTCCCCCTAACAAATGTCAAGCAATTAATTGTGTCTTGATTTCTGTTTCACACTTTTGTGTTATATTTTTTTTTGTGTTTTGAAAAGGGTTTTCCTTTAATTGACCAAGTTTTAGTAAGGGAAGGCGGGAGAATCTTCCAAATTGTTCAATATTATTTAGGATTAAGTGAAGTTCGTTTAGGAAATATACAATTTTTTGGTGGTTCTGTGTAACAATTTATTAAGCTATATAGCTGTAAATACATTTTTAAAATATTAAATTCCAAATTTAATATTTTTCGCTTTTTATCTGCTTTTAAATAAATAAGCTTCCAATTCGACATTTAATCCTTTTGAATATCTGCAACTTCAACCTTTGGTTTTTTCAAACCCATTTTCGGGCTTTATTCCTTGGGCGTCACATATAATTAATTACAAATTACGCGCATTTTTTGGCATGGAGCAACTTTTCATCACAGGGAAAAAACTAGTGACTCCGTCTGCCGCTTTTGCCGCTGACCGCAGGCGCTAAAAGCCGAAGAACCGAGAACGAAAAAATCGTGAACAAATGCAGGATAAAGGCAGTGAAAAGTTGAAACTTAAAAAAATAAATAAATGTATATACACAGACAAAAACGATTTCACCTAATGATATTTTCAATTTTACTTTATAATATATATTTACTTTATGTTGTAGTACCAAAATATAATTTATTAATATTCTATTTATATGATAATAATACAGTTGCTATTCAAAAAGTATTATTATACTTGGGGTTTGCAAAAAAGCATTATAACAAAAATGGACAATGTGAAGTTCTAATTGCCATCAGATATTTTATATTGTTCTGTTTTTATCCGTGTATGGGAGTATAAAAATCATGGTTACTGCCGGAGTTGTTGGTATCAATTAAGTCACCCGGGGGACAGCAACAAAATGGCCATTAATGGCGCTATCTCGCTCCCGCCATTTGGCCATATTGCGGTTTAGCTTACATTTCACATCCGGTGGGTGGATTTGGGTGGGCGGCGATGGGTGGTCTTACGGGCGGTGTCCTATTTGGCAATTAATTTGCATATCATTGATATGCACACACAGTAACAAACACGCACATACACATTATATTTGCTTAGGATTATTATCGGTTATTAATGTTGCTGTAATTGAAAATTATTTTCACTTTTATGTTTATCATTATCAGCTGCCATTACATCCCACATACCCATCTGCAGCATTATCGTCGCATGGGAATTATTGTTTGCCGTGATTTAAGTGCTTTAAATATGCACATCTGCATGTATTTAATATTTATGCGGTCCGGGGACGAAGCGTGGGCCACGACCGTGCATAATTATCAACTTTATGGGAATAGTTGTGCTACTAGTCGGACTTTCTGGGGTTTTACCAGTGGGTTTAGTCACGCCAGCAAAACGCCCATTGACACATGTAAAATTATAGATTTAGATCCAAAAAGCTGCGAGCTTATGCGATGTGTGTTCCCATCAGTTCTGAATTGACGTTTAAGCGTTCAACAAAAATATTTATAAATATTTATGGTGATCTATTTGTCTTAAAAATAGTTGTATCTCTGATATTCAAAATTCGGAGAACCAAAGAGCTTGAAACTATATTTAAAATATATTTATTATCTTATTTTGTTGGTGACTATTAAAATTAATATTCCATTTCAAAAGTAGTTTAGCTTACTAGTGAATGGTTTTCCAGTTAGTTTTAACCAGCGGCTTCCACATTTTAATAAATCTAAAATATTGTGTATAAAAGCAAGGACCCATTAAATTCACATCCGCTTTCAAGCATTGCCTTGATCTAACAACATAGTTATAAGTAGTGGCCTGCCTATTAAATTTTAATGGACTTGTATTGTAGCTGATTTCTAAATAAGTTTGGTTTACTATCCATTAAATTAATGACTCCCCTACCGATTTCTGAAAACTCTACCTCGGAGCATTGAAAGCTCCGGGCAAATCAAAATTAATGATACGATTTAACCGCATTCGCTGGGGAATAAAAACAAAAGGCCAACTGTTTTTAGAACGAAGCGCAAACAATAACGGCGCTGTAAATATTTAATGCGGGAAAGGAAAGTATTTGTGATTGTCGCGCCGACGTGAACAATTTGGCACTTCATTTTTTACAATTATCAGACGACGGGCAGGCAATCACCGCCGGCCAGGTGAGGGTGAATCGGGGGAAAGTCGGGGAGAGGCGGAAAAGCTGGGCAGGTGAAAACATAATTTTTACACAATTAAAATGAGTCGGGAAATATGTGCGCACGATTCAGCGAGTAGACAGTGTATTCTTAAATTATGCAACTATTGGAAGTTGTTTTTGTAAAAACATTTTAATCTTAAGTCATTACCCAATTTTATGTTTCTTATGTTTTAGTTTCTACAGCTAGCAAAATACAATTATATAAAAATATTTGCTGATCTATTTCATTTTTAAGTACTTCAGTAAAAATACTTTTTTTTTTAAATTAGCAATTGGCAGTTGCTTGCACCATAAAATGTTGAATTAAATATTTTTCAAGCCGCTTTATATATTCGCTACATTGTACAGTACAATCCCTTTGAACCGATTTTGCAGGAATCACGATATCAAAAGGATCAGCTCTGAAAATGTAAATGTGGATGTGAATGTAAGGAATGAGTGAGTCAATTAAATCGCCATTGAATGGCCAGTGTTCAGTTTTCGATGTAGCCCGTTGTCTTTTGTTTATTTATTTATTTGTTTGTTATTTATACGTTTTAATGCCAAATGGCAATTGGCAATGGCAACAATGCCATGTGCAAAATGCGAAATGCGGAATGCAGAATGGTAGCCATGACAGTGCATTAAGCAGTCTCCAGCAGTTATTAATCGCCTGATTTTCCGATTTTCCCGCTCTCCAGCAGAGGGTTTAATAGACTCACATTACGGCGAAACAATTATCAAGTCGGTTTGCGTTCAATTGGCCGCCGGTATGTGTCCGTCCGTCCGATGTCCGTTTCCTGTTCGTCGCTGCACAACACTGATTACAGGGTTGCACTCAGGCGGAGAGTGGCCCCGATAAGCACCCGATAAGCCTCCGATATCTCCCGTAAGTCCTCATCAAATGCATCAATACTCTGGTTGCTTTTTGCCGCAGGAAAACATTACCAACAAAAACTATTTAAAATTGTGATTTCTCAAATGGCATCGCCCTTAATTATACAGCCACCAAGCTTTATTTAATTTATTTAATAGCCAATTTATTATTAACGGTTTTTTTTGTGCCAATTTTGCCATTTTTCATTTATAAAATTTTTGCGAAATTGCCACTCCAGTGGAAATTTTATAACGAGTTCAACAATGTAAAGGCGCAAAGTTTTATCGCGAAAATTCTGATATTCTTGAGCGAAAAATGGCTAAAATCCCAATTTTCACATTTCATATTTTTCGTGAGGTTTTCATCATGAGTTTTCTCGAAAATTTTACAAAAAAAGCTGTCAGTGCAGTTCGATTGGAAATTTTGTAACGAGTTCAGCAAGGTATGCCATTCCATTATTGGGCAATTATTGGCGTTGTAATAGTAAAAATACTGATATTTTTGAGCGAAAAATGGCTAAAATCCCAATTTTTCACATATCATATTTTTCGTGAGGTTTTCATCATGAGTTTTCTCGAAAATTTTACAAAAAAAGCTGTGAATGCCGTTCGATTGGAAATTTTGTAACGAGTTCAGCAAGGTATGCCATTCCATTATTGGACAATTATTGGCGTTGTGATCGTAAAAATACTGATATTTTTAAGCGAAAAATGGTTAAAATCCCATTTTTTCACATTTCACATTTTTCGTGAGGTTTCATCATAAGTTTTCTCGAAAATTTTACAAAAAAAGCTGTGAATGCAGTTCGATTGGAAATTTTGTTACGAGTTCAACAAGGTATGGCATTCCATTATTGGACAATTATTAGCATTTTTATATTAAAAATACTGATATTTTTGAGCGAAAAATGGTTAAAAGTCCAATTTTTCACATTTCACATTTTTCGTGAGGTTTTCATCATAATTTTTTCAAAAATTTTACGAAAAAGCTGTAAATGCCTCTGGATTAGAAATTTTGGTACGAATTCAACGAGGTATAACATTTCAACATTCGATCACCATATCCCAGGGTTTTGATCGAGGTACGACATGCCAAGTCAATTTGATGTTATTAGAGTAAAAAAACTTACGACCTATACAACAATTTTATGTGAACAATATTCAAAAATAAAATAAATGGAAGTGCTGACAAAAACAATCTACATTTTGTTTAGAGTTTATTTTATTTTTGAAACGACTCTTTTGACTCATCTGCGTTTTGCTTTTGTTATACTTTCAATCCTTTTACCTTCCATGAGCGAAACGACGACCAACAGATGAATCAGCATTTTGCCATTCCGATCAAACTTGGCAAGTTGAGAATTCCGAAATAACCGTTTCGCCGTGACTCGCATTTGGTATCAACAATTCCGTAACGACATTTGCGATCGGCACGCGAACAGAACAGTTTCACTGCACAGAAAAAATTCAAAAAAATATTCACTTCAATGTATATGTGGTCAAGGTTTTTATATTTTTAACTAAATTTTTTTTAATCAATTTTTTAACAACGCGAGTTTGCCGTGTAAGCAGCGACGCTGGCAGAGGCTTGCGACAGGATTCGAATTCCGTTTGACCGTTTTTCAACCAGCCGACAGCGCCGACGTTGATCAACTGAAGATGCAGCTGTCGAAATGGCCATCCTGCAGCCTCCGGAACGAGCGAACACGAAAGGGACCTTCGGCGGCGAAGGGACACGAACTCGGGACGAGGCGACACGAAGCACGGTCGTAACCGTTAGCCGTTGGATACTGTAAAACCGAAGTGGCGCCCCGAATGTCTTGCTGACGAACGCTCGTTGCCAATTGTCGAAGTGGATGTTCGAATCGAACGCCGTCCACCATGTGCCGAACGCGATCCACATGGCGGGCACGTGGTGGAACGCAGGACTCGATGGCGCCAGCGGGGGGGCTGTCCTGGCGGCGCAGGCGCCGTGTCCTTCGGAGGAGGAGTGTCGTCCGCATTCGTCTGACAAATGGTACGACAATTGCTACAAGCTGTGGTGGCATTTGGCCACCGCCTGCCAGAATCTCCTGCGGCCACAACAACCAAGTGGCATGACAGGCGCCAGCTCGGATGAGCTGGAGGTTGCGACAGGTTACTGGGACCCGGGAGTTTCGAGGGTCAATTTAGTAGGGTCACTAATTTTAGTACAGTGCTGACATACTAGATCATAAATGCGGGACCTTGCTATATCCTAACTGTGTTAAAATCCCTTCATCCCAAGAAGCAATCAGCTGGTAACATGTTACCTGATCCATTTTTCCAACACTCTGTTTGCAGAGATTTGATTAGGACCTCTTTTTAGTTCTAATAAGCAGAAGCTAGGTGTATAATAGTTATCAATAGCTTTAACCCCAATGGAAAGTAACTAGTTTAGATAGTGGCTCTAGTTTTCTCCGAACCTTGACTGATAAGCTTCTATTAAGGAAGCCCTGTCTTTAAAATGATTTGAGATCCGTTTTTTTGTTTTCCAAATTGTCAGATTCTTATATATTTTTGTAACAAAATAAAAAACAGTTTTATTTGTGACGTTTATAATTGAAAATTGCGCTTAATTACGGTCTCTGTGTTAAATAGAAAAATATGAAGAAAGACATTTCAGCTGCTAAGAAAACGATTAATTTGTACGTATAAAAAATGTTTAAATATGAAATAAGCGTAAAGATGGTTTGTGCTTTATTTAAGCACTGGACTTTCTATCCAAATATTTATTTAACTACCAATTAAATCAATTTATGTTTAATTTCATTGATCTGTAAACTCCTCTGTAAATCTATATAAATCATTTTCGGTTTTCGCATATTCATGCCAATTACTTTTCCCCGAAACACTCATAAGTTGTCCGTTTCCAACTGGCCTCCAGCTGACATTCGGTGGTTGATCAACCGCCCAACTCGCACCACCCAATTTCCTTTTGGCCATCGAAAGGAGCAACTTTCCCAACGACGGGCGGAAAAAGTTTCGAATTGCATTCTGCATTCTGTCAGATAAGCAGGCGACACAATCCCAATCGAAATCCCAATTGACATAATTTTCAATATTTCAATGTCGGGGAAAATAGGAAGATTGCACTGGAATTTAATTGAACTTTAACTGTCAGTTTTTTGGGTCCTCGGAGGCGTCGCCAAACCGCTGGGGGAGCACATCCTTGGCCAGGATGTGACAGGAGCCAAAGTCAGGGCTGTCAAAGCTGCCACAAAGTGGCTTAATTATCCAATAGACGGTAGATTCTGGATGTGCGGGCTGCGTATTTAACTTGTCAGCGAATGCCAGTCATCTTAAATTGTGGATAGTGTCTTCAACTTTTCCGCTAAATAACTCAATTACGCCTCTGAGTTTTGGAGATGAGTGGTGGGAGAGGGAGAGCGGGGGAGCGGGGTAGCGGGGAAATGGTAAGGCATAATTATACCATTATGCAATTTTTACCACCCGATCCGCTTAAATGAATTGCAGCTGCTCCGCCATCAGCTGAAATTCGCTGCAACAAATCAAAGTGCGATTCTTTGAATGCCACGACGAAAACTTTTCAGCAATTATCCACAGAAAAAGCTGAAAATCACAGGATGCATGAGGGAAAAGTTGGATGAGAGGTTTTAGTTAAATCAGATGCTGATTATCCTAATTTGGTTTCCTTAAAAAACATTTTAATCTTGTAATTGATTTTATGGAACTAACTTTTTGCTTCTCTTCTCTTTATTTCTCTTTTCTTTAATTATTTGCATTAAGCGTTAAATTAGTTCTACACAATACAATTATTAAAAAATAAATACATTATATTGTCATTTTAATAGAGTTAAAACTTAGTTGTTTTTTACTTCTAGTCAATGCCATTTTAAACAAAAGACTTTCCAGATCTCAGTTTCAAAGCCCCAATTTAATTTCGGGATTATTAACACCTATACAAATGGGCACAAATATGTCCACACCAACACACATGGTTAACTAATCCGGCTCCTTTCCCTACACTTTTCCCAGAAAAACTTCTGGGACAACGAAGAAACCAAAACCAAAACTTTTGTTTCTAAAACTCGTGTTCCAAGTACCCCGCACAAAAGGGAAAATTCTGGGCGAAGATGGGGCCAGGTGTGTGTGAATTTTGAATTTGAAAAACTCCCCCTTTTGTCCTTGTCTGGCAGACACCTGCTGGAGCTGTAATAAGTATGCAGCGACTATAATATCCTGGCATATCCTGTAAGAGGATGGGGCAAGGTATATACATTCCGTGCTTGTGGTGAAAATATAGATGTGTCTTGCGATAAACCATATTTTATTTGAAATGGTATTCTTGTATAATTTTATATATAGTTGCTGAGGGTTTGCGTACTCAGTTTTAAAGCTAATAATAAAGAAGGTTCTAATTAAAGGCATATCAGATCTTATTATAAGTAATATCAAATAAAATTTGGGCTTGTCTTCTGTCACACCATATTAAATATATATCTGGAAAACTTGATAAAAAATAAATAAACTAAAAGGTATCTTTCTTGGCTCAAAAAAGGACGCTTCGAATCGCGCTTGTTCTATGGTTGTTAAGTGTTAAAGCGGGCGAAAGTTGGAGGCCATGTAGACAAGGACGAATGTGGGTGGAGGGGGGAAGGGGGAGGCCGAAGGGGGCTGGAAGCAGCTGCATGTGTCGCGTACGTGTGCGACAGCAAACACAACAACACTGCGAACAAGCGACAACAGTGTGACCAAATGTGCGTGTGAGTAGCTGCGTAGGTGTGACTGTGTGCCTGTGCTTCTGTGTAAATCGCACATTTCAATTTGCATGTGTTAGCGACAAACTTTTGATAAGTGTTACTCGCATTACACAAAGGGAAGGAAAAGGAGAGCAGATCCACAAACTTATTGTCAAACACGAACAGGAACCATCACTCCCATGCCCATACATATGCAAATTTAGTTCCCACATACACACACACACACCAACACAAACATTCATATCAATATTTTTCAGACACTACGTGCTCGGCGAATTTCAAACACCTTCGGATCGATGTGTAATGAAATTGCACATGGCATTGCGTTTATTATGGCCGAAAATTTCAAATTATCTGTGAGATTGCTTTCGCTGCTGAACCAATAAAAACGAAAACAAAAAAGAACAATAAACAAAGAGTTGACCTATAATACATATTATATTTATGGAGCTGCGGTTTTCTACAAAGTCATAGTCACAAGGCTTCAACTATGTTCATAACAAACATATATTTTTCTAATGAATGAATAACATGATTAAATCAAGTGATGAATAAATTAATTGCTGACTGAATTTCTTCGTAAGTTGTGAAATTTATAAGTGAATTGTTTACTCAATTTCAACCTTTAAGTCAACTCCAAGCAAATCAATCACTCCATTAATAAATCGGCCACACAAAGCTCTCTCATCAGGGCGAACATGTAGGGGTCACCTGCGGATGTGCTTCTCCTTTACGCCACCAACTAAGCTGACTGCGATTTCCCAAACCATTTTCCACCCGCTTTTCCACCGCTCGTTGAACGTTGATGAGTGCCACGGTTATCTGGCACCCATATTCCCATGTTAACTGTCGCCTTTAGCGTTGTTCGCCTGTTGACTAACTGTGGAGGAAAGCGGGAAAACCTGGAAAACTCGGTGGCACTAAAGGGTGTCTGTGGATGTGAGTCCTTACGGAATTATGAACATATCCTGTGAATTGAAGAACGTCATCAGGGCAGACAAAAGGCAAAACAAATTGAGAGCACAGCATATGCTCAGTATCGCCCCTTTTAAAATTCAACCACTCTGTTGTCCATTACGCTTTTTTTACGAAAAAAAATCTGAAAAAAATGTAGTTATTTCGCCATTTAAAAGTGAATTTTAATGTTGAAGGAACTTAGTTTAATAATGTTTGAACAAAATCCTATAAGTAACTATAATTAAATATATTTCAGGAATAAGAAATTGGGTTATAAGGATCTATATCAAGAGGATCAATAGTTTATAATATTTATGGGAAGAAATACAGTTCATCAAGTCCACAAATAAAATTTTTACATTTATAAATAGAGTAAAACATTTATACTACAATTATTTCTTAAATACTATGTTTTTATAAATATATAAATTAATATACATCCAATATTTTATTTGTCTCTGGCTCTTTTTTTCTCGCAAGCCTGGCAACACTGTTGGCCACATTTTTAGGTGCACCATAAAAACTACACCCACAGACGTGTTATCTCTCGGCTGTGCATCATTTCACAAGAAGAAGAAGAAGAAGGGGCAGACCGCAACAAAACAAAATCTGACAATAAGTGTGAAAATGCCACCCCTTTCCACTATTTTCCATTCCCCTCCCTGCCATGCAAAACTAAAAGAAAAATGTTTAAATATTTCCTGCTTTTTATTGTGGTTACATTCGCCACCCGTCCCCTTCGCACTTTATCTCTATCTCCCTCTCTTTT